GTCTGCCACCTGCTGCTACCGACGAAGACGACACAGCATCATCTGTAGTAGATCTGCTCAGCCGAGGCGCGTTCTTCAGCTGGTGCAGAAACGCACCCACCGCTGCAGTCTCCAGTCGTGACGAACAGTTGAGCGTACTTGTCGACTGCGTCTCGAAGGCAGTGCCGACCGTCATCGAGCCGTCTCCCAGTGCAAAAGGCAACAGCATGTCCAAGCCATCACTCGAGGATGCATCTCCTTGGACACTACTAGTGCCTTCGGTATCTGGTCTCTCGGAGAGCAACAGTCGAGGCCGGTCTCTACTCACACCAGCACCAGCACCAGCACCAACAAGTGCAAGGCTGAACAGATCCGGCGCGTCAGGTGAGACTCCCCATGCCGTGACACCACAATCGCCAAAGTCCGGCGAGAAACCCCGCGACTGTGCAGAGAGCAGACTCTCAGAAGGTGGACCCTTCGCACTATGGAGCCGCGGCTGATACTGATCCGTCGTCACAAACGTGGGCAGGTTGCTCGAGCCGGACTGGATGCGGCTCTTGCTGTTCGAACAACCGGGTGACGTCGACGACAGCTCGCACGGATTCGCTCGGAACGGAGGGCTCACAGAGAACATCGCCACGTCATCGGTTTGTGCATCGCCATGCGAACGTAGAACGGCGTCTCTTTTCGCAGGAACACCCACAAGGGCACTTGGAACATGCGAATGAACCACTTCGGAAACAAAAGCACCATTGAACGACATGTGTCTGCGCCTCACATCATGACGCTGCAACAGATTGCTCTGAGGGTGACGAGGAGGCGTCGACAAGGGGTGGCACCCCGTACTGCTGTTGCTCAGCGGCAACTCATCGCGACCGAACGTCGGCGAACCACGTTGCCCGATCTCGCCATCCTGACGATCTGTACCCTCCCACAGCTGTTGCTGGCGTTGCTGGAATGCGACCGACGGCGAGCACTGATGCGGTTGTTTCCGTTCAATTGCGACATTGCCGTAGCCATAAGGTGCTGCAGTCACGTTCGGGTCCGGAGATGCACCCCGCAATCGAATGTCTTGCTCACCACCGTACGAATGTGCGTGCTGAACCAGTCTGCCGTCGCTCTTGTCTTCGCCGTACTCATTCCGTATCCCCGCGCGTAATGGACCAGCAGCAGCAATGCCCCCTTCGATACCAGAACGTGGGATTGCCACAGGTTTGGACATACCAGGCTGACGACACACTGCTGCGACTTCCCCCGTGTGCTCGCCATCCACATCATCTGCACTACTGAACTGCCGCTGCGGCCGATCGGCAAGTGACACAGGAATCGAGCGAGGCGATGACCGACATCGCGGCAAAGCTCCGACGTCATTGTCACGGAGCTGCTGCGCATCACGGACTGGCACGAACGCATCCGTGTGCGAAGCTGCCTCCCCCGTCGGCGACTGGACCAACGCCGTTCTTGTCCACGATGGCGCAGGAGCACTTGCAGGAACCAAGTCCGGTGATCCTGGCACATAGTCCTGGATAATGAAACTATTCTGCAAGATACGCGACGACGCAGCTTGCTCCTGTTGCTCGGTAAACAGACTGCAGTCTCGTCGATACACCGTCGCCACTCTCAGCAAACCAAACGGTGTCGCGATCGGCACAAACGCGTATCCACTCGTAGCGACCTGTTGCGTCTCAAACGCTCGTGTGGCCTCACTCGCTGGCGCTGCATGTATCGTGTAGCTCAGCAGCGAAGGATACGATTGCGCGAACAACCGATGCGCCGGCAGCTGCCGCATCAGCGCGAACAAGGCGCGCAGCAGCACACTAATCTTCTTGCACACTTCCTTCAGTTGCTGGATCATGTCCTGCGTCGAGCCCAACCACACAGCGCTCGCGCTCTCGCCGTCAGCTGCAAACGTGACGCTCCAGCGCTCGAGCAGCACCTGCGTGCGCCCGCTGCCAGCTGCGTCGTCGTAGACAATGTCGATCGCCAGCGGCCGACGCACGTCGTCTCGCCACGCAGCCATTGCGTCTCGAACGATCGGGACCTCGTCAATGTCCAAGTTGAAGCGCGCGCGACGACTGCTGCGCCGCCCATCCGGTTCGGCCTCGAGGTTCACGCGGCTCTGGACAATGAGCTCCGCTGCTTTGTACAGGAACTCGAGCACCACTTGCTCCGTCTTGGACCGACCCGCTGCAGTATCCGCAGCCAGCGACGAAACAGACCGACAAACAGACACATTGACAGACACAAGAGACGAATAGACAGACAAATGGACACATTGACAGACACATTGACAGACAAATGGACAGAAACACAGACACATTGACAGACAATGACAAAAGCATAGACAAACAGCCAATCAGCAGCTTTCGTTAGTCAGGTATCACATGTACCGGCACGTGGTGACGGCGGACTGTCTTGCTTTTTTCCTGCTTTTTTTCCTGCTTTTTTCGCTGCTTGTTTCGATGCTGTGTGGACAGACGAGACACATGCACATGCAACTGTACCACAAGAAGCGGTCGAGCGAGGCGGGCGCACGTTTGCCGACGTGGCGAGTGCGAGAGGAGACAACGACGCGGGAGTTGCAGCAGCAGCAGCTGCAGGAGGATACGCGTAAAGCGCCCGTCTCGACCCGTCGTCCATCATCGGCGACACTGGGCGAGCGGAAGACCCGGTACTGAAAAAAGCGACTTTTTACAGAAGATGGCAAAGAAGTGGCAGTGGTCGATGACGGCTGTTTTCAGCCAATGAGAGAGAGCGAGAGAAAGCGGCGGTCGAGGCAGTGGACGCAAGTGGACCGAGAGGCGCACACTGCGCTGTAGAAGTGTATGTTGAAGATGCACTGACTGACTGACTGACTGACTGACTGACTGACTGACTGACTGACTGACTGACTGACTGACTGACTGACTGACTGACTGACTGACTGACTGACTGACTGACTGACTGACTGACTGACTGACTGACTGACTGACTGACTGACTGACTGACTGACTGACTGCATCGAGCACGCAGTATGTGGGAAGAAGAAGAACATTTAGTTGATGCAAAGAAGAACACATAGTAGTTGCGAAGAAGAACACTTTGTAGTTGCGAAGAAGAACACTTCGTAGTCGGACGACTGGTGTAGAAACGCTCCGACGATTCGCTTGTGGGTAACAATTGTGCTTCGATGCGACTGAGGTCCGAACGAAAGGGACATGTTGCAGCTGTGCACTCGAGTGGAGTAGACGCAGACTACTGCTACACAGAGCAACAGCAGACACTTGTCGACCGTGTTTTCTTTCACGCTCTTTCGTGCAGTGTTCGTCCCAGATACGCTGTTTCTGATCGTGGCGAGTCTCACGTTCCTACAGCAGTCCGTTCTCGCTCTGCGCCGCCGTGGAGCGGCTGGTGGAGACCACTCCGACACGTTTGCGGGTTTGTCCATTTGCGTCAAGATGGAAGAAAAGTTTGACAAACGGCTTTCGGACTCGATTGCGACGAGGCGCACAGCTGCTGCACTAAAACTAAAGCCAACGATCGGCTATGTATGTAGCTCTTGCCTCTTTCTCTTCTCTCTCTCTGCTCATCTTACATTGTCGCTCTCTCGGCAGATCCCTTCCTTCGCGGTCCGATCTCATCGCTTTTTGCGCTTTAGCCAACCAGATGCGGGTGTACTTGACCTGGATCAGGTCTTTACAGTTGAAGTGTTGAGTATGACTCCTCCACACATGTCTTGGGCGATGCGTTACGACACATGTACCAGACTATGTGGTTTGTCGTAGACATGCGCATGGTGTGAAATGTCCATAGGACTTCTCGCGTCTGCACGGGCGTGACGTACAAGCAACAAACACGACTGATCATAACAGGTGGGATATGCTTTCGAGTCAATCAAGGCCTGTCCATGAAGTATGGGCAGTCTTCCTTCACACGGACACGTGGTGCAGCTGTCAATGGCAATGTGGTACAACAATCACGTGGGTCCCCGCGTAGATACACGATGCATCTCGTCTCCGGCAACACGTACAAAAGGGGACCAGGTAAAGACATGATGAGCAGCACGAACTCTGGACATCGCCTTGCACTATGACAGCATGTCTTATCATCACTAGTGAAAGCCATTGGGGTAGCTCTCCACGCAGTCATTGACGCGTGCATTTGCTTTGTTCATGGACTGCAGTTGTTTCCCGCAGTCGCCATCTACGAAGAGAGAATAGAGATGGAGAGAGAGAACGACATGGATGCTATTGACCTGGGAAATGCTGCATGAGCTCTTTATTGGTCCGTCGGTTGTCAGGAGGGTCCAAACTTTTTTTGCTGCATGGCCGAAACAAACGAACGAAGGAGGATATCGATACTTGCGGCTTTTGTGCATTTCACAAGCTCGTCGATCGTCTCGTTGCTGACACAGCACGTCGACGAAAGCACCGCCATCACTTGTGCATCTACGATACATTCACGACAAGTCGCAGCGCAAATAAAACGCAAACACACACACGCTTGTAGGCCCCATCTCATGCCTCCTACGCCCAGCAGTGCCGACTATTCCAAAGCAATTGCGATCGCAGAGAGATAGGAACACCCACGATCCAGAGCGCTCGATAGTTTGCGAGGACTTTCAAAACCCGTCGTCAAGGGAACAAGTGCCATTGAAAGGTGGTAGCGATCAACAAGTACAACAACAACAACAGCAGCATCGACTAAAACAGTAGCAACAGTTGCAGTAGCACTACCACCAGCGCCAACCACCAGCCACAACAACGACACGACGCGAAGGTCCCACTTTTCTGCCATTCTCGTGTCTTCCCTCTACTTCCGACAGTTTTCCGAAAGACTCTCCGAATTTCGCGACGTGTGTCAGCTTTACTTGTCAATCTGCTGACTACAAACCCCACCACTTGGGCTCGCACGCAGCCCCCCGGCCATTTACCTTCCTCAACCTCTATTCATCTATCGATCTATCTATCTATCTATCTATCTATCTATCTATCTATCTGTCAGTGTATCTATTTGTCTGCCTATCTACCAACAAGTCAAACATGAACAGCCTCATACGTTGCCGGAGTCGCACGTTGCAGAAGGTTCTCGCCATTGTTCAATTCGTGTTGATGTCCAGTGCTGCTCCTGCTCTATCCACCGCCAGTAGTGACCTTTTGTCTCGTTGCGAACGCCTCTCGAGCACCACGGCAGTGCTCGAAGCGCCTTCGGATGCCGAGTTGCCGTCTGACGTTGCAGCCACACTAACGGCGTCGTCCGACCTGCCCTGGAACGCTCTCAACGACGCGGCAAAGGTCGGACTCCTGTGGGCACATGGCTACGTCTTCTCAAGTGGGTCGAGCAACGGGAACAAGACGGGCCACGCCCTTCTTCAGGTCTACACCCGATGTGCAATAGGAGAAGCAGTCGGTGTGGCAATGGCCGACGTGAGCGTCTCGTACGACGACTTTACCGGCCCAAAGTGGCAGTGCCACGCAGCACACTGTGGCTCGGACTACTCCCAGTCAACAACTGCCCCCTGCGTGGCCGACGTGGCACGGGCCATTCCGTGTGCCATCGATGGCGCATCAGCGGCACTGGAGACACTTCGTGACGTGTCGTTCTGGACGTCGACAGCTTCTGCTCGGACGGTGCCGTACCCACAGGCGTTCGAGCACAACATCTCGTTGCGGGGTCAGCCCAAGACGTTGCAGCTCTACTCGATCCACATGCAGAACTACAATGAAAAGGCTGAAGCTGCTGATGGTGTGTCCTGTCGAAGTCGAAGCAGTGGCAGTAGTCGTCACGCGCTGGATGTGGTGATCCCGTGTCTCCGATTACAGGACACGACGACAGGTGGGCCCCGTGCGTCAGAGTTCTGCAAGCCGACGGTCGATGGCGCTCGAGTGCAGCGCTTCCTTACGTCCGTTCGGGCGAAGGCACAGGTCATTCAGCAGGTGGACGATAGCGATGAAGGGGACACGGAATGGGACCTGAAGCTCAAAGTTGGCATCGGAGGGGTCGTGCTCGTAGTTGTTGGAATTGGCGGCGTCTGTCGCTGTTGGAAGAAGATGACGATGTTGCAGTCAACTGGACAGCTGTCCGAGCCTTATGTGATGGAAACAACGCCAGCGCAGCGTCGAGGCACGTCGAGGACGGTACAAACTCATGTTCCAGTCACCTTACAAGTTCTTGAACAATGTGGCAAACGAGTCGATGGCTGTAGCGCTGACCCGTTGGCTGCTCCTGCCAACAGACAGGTGCAGACAAACCCCTCCCGTAGTCGAAGGTCGTCGTGGAATACCTTTGGCAGTGCGAGTTATCTCGAGTCGACACCTCACGGGGATCGGTCATCGATGGCAGGAACCTGCATGGGCGCTGGCACTGGGGGGAAGTCCGTGGCCGAGTTCTGCAACGAGTCAAAGGCGCTAGCAGCCTTCATGCAGGACCGTCAAGTCTTGACGAAGCGGATCGCTCTGGACGAGCTCACGTTCCTGCGCATTCTGTCCAAAGGCGCGTATGGCGAAGTGTGGCTGGGGCAACTCGAGACGCGGCACGTGGCCATCAAACGACTGCTGCCCGAGAAGTGTCAGCTCACAGCCAGTGTCGAGCAGTTTGCTGGCGAGATTCAGCTCATGGGCGTCCTGCAGCATCGGAACATTGTGTCGTTCATTGGCGTGTGTTGGCATTGGCTGCAGAACCTGTGCGCCGTCGTCGAGTACATGAACGCAGGGGACTTGGACGAGGTGCTCACGAGAAAGCGAGCGAAGTTTTCGTGGCAGCGCGAGAAGATCTCGATCGCCATGGACGTTACCGAAGGTCTGGTGTACTTGCACTGCTTGAGACCTGCGATCGTGCACCGCGACCTCAAGCCCAAGAACGTCCTGCTGAACCGCCACTTCCATGCCAAGCTAAGCGACTTTGGCGTCAGTCGCAAGACGCGGGTGAACGAGACCATGACGTCCGGTGTAGGCACGTTGCTCTGGACAGCACCGGAGATCATTGCAGGCAAAAAGTACGCGGAGAAGGCAGACGTGTACTCGCTGGGCGTCCTGCTGTCGGAAATGGACACTTGTGCGCCGCCGTTCTCGGACGTGACGTCGGACAAGGGCGAGCGACTGCCTGGCATGCAGCTCGCTCAACTGGTCCGACTGGGCAAAATCCGCGTCACCCTGCGCCCAGACTGCCCACCGACGCTGTGCAAGTTGGTGATGGACTGCACCCAGCTGGACCCGGATGCCCGGCCTAGCTCGATGCAGGTGGCGTTCACGCTCAAGAGTATCATTGCGCCAACGCTGCGGCTGTGTTCCTCAGCAGCCACGACAGCTTCCACGTCCTGTGCCACGATGTGCCCACCCAGCGCAAGTCAAGACACGACAACTCAGGCCCCAGAGCGCTTGTTGACTTCAGGAGAAGAGAACTGCCGTATGGACACAGCAGTGCAGTAAGACGCCTTCTTCAAGACATTGAATCGCCTTCGCCACGTTTGGACGAACCCCCTTCGCCACCAGCACAGCGCACTCGAGCGGATGCGTGAAGCACGTGCTGAGCCACGTCTTGTCGAAAGGAGTGAACGCACTTCGGCAGACACTGGCAGAAGTTCGAGTAAGAAGTGTGCCGTTGTTGATGAGAGTCGTCCTACGACATGCTGCGAGAGAGAGGACTTCTGCTCGTCCATCACTTGTTTCCAGCGCGTGTTGTTGCGCTCTGGTTCTGGAGGTGCGCTGCTGACGCAGAGCAAGAGAGTGTGAGATATCCTGCAGTGTTGTAACAGAACAAGTCGGGCACACGGCAACGGCTGACCTGAAAGAGTACTAGGTGTGGGTCAAACATACATCGAGCGGCAGCGCGACAACGAGTCTCTTTTTTGCCGAGAGAAGAAAGCAGTGACACGAGTTGTCGAGTGGTGCAGTGTGAAGCAATCGAGACAACAGGGCACATCTTCTGGATGCACCCAGGCCTGCTGATAGAAGTCCACCCGTCACTGGACATGAGGGCGCAGTGACATACGATACTTGCAACGGCTTCTCTGCAATCAGTGCACGCAGCCACCGAAGATGTCCGATCTAGTCATGAAACACCGCGTTTAAGGGTATCCTGACAAGACGAAGAGAGTGCCCATCCGAATGGGAGCGACTGTGGCATTCATGAAGCAACTTCTGCCTCACTATCTTGTGTGTACCAGCAGATCGAGTAACGTTCCTACAGAAGTGCAGACGTCACCACTGAAGACAGTATGAAAGTTCAAAGATATTACGTGCGGCAGCTACGAGTTACAGCAGAGCAGGAGAGCGAGTGGCCCGACACGGAGGCACCAGGTGAACGCACGTCCGATGTGGTGCGAATGCACAATCGCCAGAGACTCAGTGTATATCGCACAAGGTGAAAAGCCGCATACAACGACCGGACTTGCCCGAGGAACGGCGTTGCTAATCAGGTTTTCTGCATTTAGAGGCGGAGTGGTAGGTAAACGGATCGCGTCTCGCTTTTGTTGCGTTGTGGATCTTCTGCGATTGTCCCACTTGGCGGTCCCATCTCATCGCTTATAGCACGTTCAGCCAATCAGATGCGGGCGCACTTGACCTGTAACAGGTCTTGCAGTTGATGTGGTGAGCATAACCCACACTTGTCTCGATTGATCCGTTCCAATAAACGCAGAAGCATCAGGTGATTTGCTGTAGACTTCGCCTATGGTGTTGGTCATTGATCGTGGATTCGTGCTCGTTATTATTTACCGGTGTCCAAGCTCATCTACAAGTCAGAAGCAAGCAAATGCTAGATGAGGTTAATGTCGTCAAAGCAGTGCATTTAAAGGCCTGATAGACGAGTGCGTTGCTTTAGTTCCAGTGCTGCGGCTGTGTGCTTCGTCGCAATCGAGTCCGAAAGCCGTTTGTCAAACTTTTCTTCCATCTTGACGCAAATGGACAAACCCGCAAACGTGTCGGAGTGGTCTCCACCAGCCGCTCCACGGCGGCGCAGAGCGAGAACGGACTGCTGTAGGAACGTGAGACTCGCCACGATCAGAAACAGCGTATCTGGGACGAACACTGCACGAAAGAGCGTGAAAGAAAACACGGTCGACAAGTGTCTGCTGTTGCTCTGTGTAGCAGTAGTCTGCGTCTACTCCACTCGAGTGCACAGCTGCAACATGTCCCTTTCGTTCGGACCTCAGTCGCATCGAAGCACAATTGTTACCCACAAGCGAATCGTCGGAGCGTTTCTACACCAGTCGTCCGACTACGAAGTGTTCTTCTTCGCAACTACAAAGTGTTCTTCTTCGCAACTACTATGTGTTCTTCTTTGCATCAACTAAATGTTCTTCTTCTTCCCACATACTGCGTGCTCGATACAGTCAGTCAGTCAGTCAGTCAGTCAGTCAGTCAGTCAGTCAGTCAGTCAGTCAGTCAGTCAGTCAGTCAGTCAGTCAGTCAGTCAGTCAGTGCATCTTCAACATACACTTCTACAGCGCAGTGTGCGCCTCTCGGTCCACTTGCGTCCACTGCCTCGACCGCCGCTTTCTCTCGCTCTCTCTCATTGGCTGAAAACAGCCGTCATCGACCACTGCCACTTCTTTGCCATCTTCTGTAAAAAGTCGCTTTTTTCAGTACCGGGTCTTCCGCTCGCCCAGTGTCGCCGATGATGGACGACGGGTCGAGACGGGCGCTTTACGCGTATCCTCCTGCAGCTGCTGCTGCTGCAACTCCCGCGTCGTTGTCTCCTCTCGCACTCGCCACGTCGGCAAACGTGCGCCCGCCTCGCTCGACCGCTTCTTGTGGTACAGTTGCATGTGCATGTGTCTCGTCTGTCCACACAGCATCGAAACAAGCAGCGAAAAAAAGCAGGAAAAAAAGCAGGAAAAAAGCAAGACAGTCCGCCGTCACCACGTGCCGGTACATGTGATACCTGACTAACGAAAGCTGCTGATTGGCTGTTTGTCTATGCTTTTGTCATTGTCTGTCAATGTGTCTGTGTTTCTGTCCATTTGTCTGTCAATGTGTCTGTCAATGTGTCCATTTGTCTGTCTATTCGTCTCTTGTGTCTGTCAATGTGTCTGTTTGTCGGTCTGTTTCGTCGCTGGCTGCGGATACTGCAGCGGGTCGGTCCAAGACGGAGCAAGTGGTGCTCGAGTTCCTGTACAAAGCAGCGGAGCTCATTGTCCAGAGCCGCGTGAACCTCGAGGCCGAACCGGATGGGCGGCGCAGCAGTCGTCGCGCGCGCTTCAACTTGGACATTGACGAGGTCCCGATCGTTCGAGACGCTATGGCTGCGTGGCGAGACGACGTGCGTCGGCCGCTGGCGATCGACATTGTCTACGACGAAGCAGCTGGCAGCGGGCGCACGCAGGTGCTGCTCGAGCGCTGGAGCGTCACATTTGCAGCTGACGGCGAGAGCGCGAGCGCTGTGTGGTTGGGCTCGACGCAGGACGTGATCCAGCAACTGAAGGAAGTGTGCAAGAAGATTAGTGTGCTGCTGCGCGCCTTGTTCGCGCTGATGCGGCAGCTGCCGGCGCATCGGTTGTTCGCGCAATCGTATCCTTCGCTGCTGAGCTACACGATACATGCAGCGCCAGCGAGTGAGGCCACACGAGCGTTTGAGACGCAACAGGTCGCTACGAGTGGATACGCGTTTGTGCCGATCGCGACACCGTTTGGTTTGCTGAGAGTGGCGACAGTGTATCGACGAGACTGCAGTCTGTTTACCGAGCAACAGGAGCAAGCTGCGTCGTCGCGTATCTTGCAGAATAGTTTCATTATCCAGGACTATGTGCCAGGATCACCGGACTTGGTTCCTGCAAGTGCTCCTGCGCCATCGTGGACAAGAACGGCGTTGGTCCAGTCGCCGACGGGGGAGGCAGCTTCGCACACGGATGCGTTTATGCCAGTCCGTGATGCGCAGCAGCTCCGTGACAATGACGTCGGAGCTTTGCCGCGATGTCGGTCATCGCCTCGCTCGATTCCTGTGTCACTTGCCGATCGGCCGCAGCGGCAGTTCAGTAGTGCAGATGATGTGGATGGCGAGCACACGGGGGAAGTCGCAGCAGTGTGTCGTCAGCCTGGTATGTCCAAACCTGTGGCAATCCCACGTTCTGGTATCGAAGGGGGCATTGCTGCTGCTGGTCCATTACGCGCGGGGATACGGAATGAGTACGGCGAAGACAAGAGCGACGGCAGACTGGTTCAGCACGCACATTCGTACGGTGGTGAGCAAGACATTCGATTGCGGGGTGCATCTCTGGACCCGAACGTGACTGCAGCACCTTATGGCTACGGCAATGTCGCAATTGAACGGAAACAACCGCATCAGTGCTCGCCGTCGGTCGCATTCCAGCAACGCCAGCAACAGCTGTGGGAGGGTACAGATCGTCAGGATGGCGAGATCGGGCAACGTGGTTCGCCGACGTTCGGTCGCGATGAGTTGCCGCTGAGCAACAGCAGTACGGGGTGCCACCCCTTGTCGACGCCTCCTCGTCACCCTCAGAGCAATCTGTTGCAGCGTCATGATGTGAGGCGCAGACACATGTCGTTCAATGGTGCTTTTGTTTCCGAAGTGGTTCATTCGCATGTTCCAAGTGCCCTTGTGGGTGTTCCTGCGAAAAGAGACGCCGTTCTACGTTCGCATGGCGATGCACAAACCGATGACGTGGCGATGTTCTCTGTGAGCCCTCCGTTCCGAGCGAATCCGTGCGAGCTGTCGTCGACGTCACCCGGTTGTTCGAACAGCAAGAGCCGCATCCAGTCCGGCTCGAGCAACCTGCCCACGTTTGTGACGACGGATCAGTATCAGCCGCGGCTCCATAGTGCGAAGGGTCCACCTTCTGAGAGTCTGCTCTCTGCACAGTCGCGGGGTTTCTCGCCGGACTTTGGCGATTGTGGTGTCACGGCATGGGGAGTCTCACCTGACGCGCCGGATCTGTTCAGCCTTGCACTTGTTGGTGCTGGTGCTGGTGCTGGTGTGAGTAGAGGCCGGCCTCGACTGTTGCTCTCCGAGAGACCAGATACCGAAGGCACTAGTAGTGTCCAAGGAGATGCATCCTCGAGTGATGGCTTGGACATGCTGTTGCCTTTTGCACTGGGAGACGGCTCGATGACGGTCGGCACTGCCTTCGAGACGCAGTCGACAAGTACGCTCAACTGTTCGTCACGACTGGAGACTGCAGCGGTGGGTGCGTTTCTGCACCAGCTGAAGAACGCGCCTCGGCTGAGCAGATCTACTACAGATGATGCTGTGTCGTCTTCGTCGGTAGCAGCAGGTGACAGACCGGGCAAGCCGTCGAACAAAGGCAGTCATGACATTTCTGCCCAGGCTTCAATGTTCGACGACGAACTCGCTGGTTTTCGCAGGCTGCGGGACGAGCTTGCACGAGCGCTTTGACGGCCGAGCAGAACCGATTGATGTGGACTTGCCAAGTACAGTATTGCCATTGGCTCCGTACGCGTCTGGTCGCCCCGCTCCGTCTGGCTGGATATGGTGTGCGTTATGGAGCGATCAACGAGCGAAACGAGCAGTGCCTGTGCTGCATGTCCGGTCGATCATGTGTTCAACGACATGTGTTCGGCGACATGTGTCTGATGGCACATGCACGTCAGCTCCGACGAGTAAGTTTGACTGAAGCCATTTACATCGACGGACCCAGTTCCAGTTGGCGCTGCGCAGATGCCGATCACTCGGGAGTGTGCACCCGTTTGTTGCTGTCGCTTGTCCCGTCGAAGGTGTGGCAACAAACGTCTCTGTCGCCCCACGACCGCAATGGATGCAGCCTCGTTGGTGGTGTTCCGAAGAGCAGGAGACCGAGTTTGATTGCGAGTTGCTGGATGTCGTGTGGCTACACGATGGCAGTACGACTGCCTGCAGACGCACGAAGAAGACGTTGAACCCCACGGGTTGAAACGGGATGAGCTGGAATGCGTGACCAGGTCAATGGCTCAGCGATAGGGACAGTGTGTTTGCGAGAGCGTCATCAGAGAACTGCAGCGAGCCGTTGTATGAGACCCCATCATCTCTGTATCGCACGTCGAGTCGTGTGCTTTGGTATGCGCAAGTGCATTGAGACGGCCGTCCGTCCAAATGGTGACAACAGCACTTGTTGCACTTGCGAATGAATGGGTCAACTAGCGGTCACTTTGTACGCGACTCCTCACACGGCAAACAGGAAGGAAGTCGACCACATCTCAGCACTCGTCGTATCGCTTCGATACGATCGATTCCGTTCCACGATGTCGATTCCGTATGATGTTCTGCCAGCATTGTCACTCGTCGTACATGTCCATCTCTGACTCGATCGATCATTGAATGATCTGCAGAGTATCTGAGGGCACTCACTCGGCACCAAATCTCACGAGTCAGTACGTCTACCGAGTGTGTACCACCCACCACGCTGCATCGTACCACCCACCCACGACGCTGCAGGTATCCGGATAAGCTCCCACTTGACCGCCGTCTCAAGTCGTCTTAAGACAGAATACACAGCACCACATACACAGTACCACATACGCGGCACCACATACACAGTACCACATACACAGTACCACATACACGATACGCCACTTCTCATCGCGGCTTTCACGCGACGCTCATGGAGATCCAGCTGAACGCCGCCCCAGACGAGGACAGCGCGGCAGAAGACGCGACCGATGCGCCGTCGAGTGTGCCCCACACGACTGTGCGCATGTCGTCGCTGCTGTCGGAGGACACGGGCACTCCTCGCGGCACGTTCGACGCCGCAGCGTCCGCTCCGTCTCGCGGTCTCTCGAGTCTCCTGCACTCGCCCCAAGCAGCTGCCGTCGCGGGATTCGTACTTAAGCGGACTCCCGACCGTCTCGAGGCGGAAGGCCCTACGATGAGGGACACTGTCCCAGTGGCAGACGCAGCGAAAGAGACGCAACAGCTGCGACTGGTCATGTTGCAGGGCACTCGTCCAGAGCTACAGGCGGTGCAGACGGAGCTGGTGGCGGCGCTGAAGAAGCTGTGGACCGAGACGGGACCGGCGCCCAAGCGGCCGAAGAAGAGCAAACAGCTGCGGAGAGGGAGAGCGGCTGTGCCCGAGAGCGGCGATGCAGCAGAGACAGAGGTGCGTCGCGTGCTGGACGAGCTCTTGCGCACGCTGGACACGCCGTTTCTGGCCGACACGGGCGTCGTCGGCGACGTTGTGACGCTCTGTCTGACGTGTTACGAGCTCGTGGACGCGCACAATGCGGTCGAGAATCTGGTGGTGCGACGCTCGGACGGGCGCGAGATTGCAGTGGATCTGGACGAAACCGTGAAGAAGGTGTTGAGCGATTCTCTGTATGGACAATTGATGACAGTGTTGAAGCGTGCAGTGCTGTGTGGCGGCGACGAGACGGGAGAGCGTGTGGTGAGACGGATGCTGGATTGGTGTGTGGCTCGCCCGATGCCGTCGAGCTGGACGTGGATGTTCGTGGCTGTTGCTGAGACGGAGGCGTACAGTGTTCACGACTGTCTGTTTCGAGAAACACTTGCGAGATGTCAGCGTCAGGATGAGCATAACGACCAGGTACAGCACTTGCTTCCAGTCTTGGAGTCGCTGGCGGAACAGCACCCGGCTCAGATGGTGGACATGCTGCGTGATGTGTTGCGCGAGTGTGCATCGAGCAACGACGGACCAGCAGATACAGTGATGCGGCTGATGCGACTGGCGAGTGACTCGGCTGTCCTCGTTGCTGTCTGTGACGACAGCCTTCAGTGGGTGATCACAGAAGAGCTGGTCCAAACACTTTGCAGCAAGTGCTGGGAAAATAGTGCCAAGCTGCATGCGGACGGGATGGAAGCTGAGCTGCTCCATGTTGTCCGCACACGAAGTGCAGAGCTTTCCAACTCGGGCTTCCAGTTGCTCCTCCTGCTGCAAAGCTTATCTACATCCGACACGCCGTCACCATCGAAAGCTTCTGTGGCCTCGTTCCAGCGTCGTCTGTATGAGCTGGCTGGGTCGGAACCCTCACGCGCGTTCATTGAAGGAATCTACCGCTTCCTTCCTTACATCTGCCAAAAGACTCTGCAGCTACTCCGCGTGATGACTCAAGCTGACGAAGCACCAAACGTGAGCGAGACTGCAGGACCTGACCAAGCAATGTCAGCGAAAGCAGCGCGTCAACACTTCAAAGAATGGAAGCAATGGATGTGTCTGCTCGCACAGTCGATATCTCGACAAGAGGTGACCGAGCTGCTCATACAGACCGATTTGATGTTGGCGGAGTGCAACGAGTTACCTTGTAGTCAAGTTGCGGACGGCGCACTGTGCGACTTGTTGACGTCGTTGCTACCCCCTGGATCACCTGAGTACGTCGCTTTCGTGCGCAACATCGTATTGGAATGTCGATCTGCCGCCCCGAGAGCCCAACGTCGGATTCTCGATATCGTCCGAATGTTGCTGAACGTTGACAACATGGAAGACGCAGTCGTTGCAAACCGTGGTCTCCCACTGAAGCTATCTGCAGAACACGACGCATCTTGCGTGCAGCAGCTCATTCGCGCGAACAATTGGACCGAAAACATGACGTTGTTTGGGTTGTGGAATGGCATACGCGGAGTGGAGTTCTGGGAGAGTTTTCTGGATCTGACGTGCTCGAAGGACGCTCTGGTCGCCTCGCGCGCGCTAGTTCTCGTGTCCCAGACACCGTTTCTATCCCTTGACGACCCGGCTTGGCAGTATCGATGTGTACGAAAGCTGACAAGCGTCTTTTTCTTGATGCTGAGGCAATACCGGTCGACACTCGTTATGCGGGAAAAGGAAAACCTCGGCGAAGTACGGACGCCCTTGGACACTACTTTCCAGAGTCGTCTGCAAACCCTCAAGATGGTCGTGCTTCGCATCGTGACGCTAGATGGCGGCGTCGCTCACTACCCGTGCTCCGTGTACAGCATGTTTGCGTCCATGTGGCTGGACGCACTGCTGAGCACAACGTCAGCGACGAGCATTCCCACCCATTTCCCCAACACTGTGAACTTCGTCGACTTGGATGCAAACGACGAGCTGCATGAGGACCAGATCATTCGCAGCGAGCGCACTATCAGCTCCAAGTGCACGAACTTGCAGTCATCGCAGGTGATAACAAAAGTTGCCGAGACGAAGCTGGTGTACCGGAAGACGCTCGACTCGTCTTGGGAGTGTGAAATGCACGCCGCGCGCATATGCAGCATGTCGGCCACAGATTTGTTCGCTCAACTTCTCGGTCCCAGCACAATCGCTGCCAGTGTACGGGATGATGCTCGGGCCAAAGACAAGAGTGTATCGAATTTGGAAGAAGACGAGCTGCTCGAGAGGAGGTTGAGGACTGTGGTGGACATGCTTTTGGAGCGTGTGGTCCCATGCTGTGGCATTCCAAGCGACGACGTGTACAAGGACATCCTGCCGAATCGCTCCAGCTTTGATGTTGACTTGCGCGTGGAGCAGTGGCTGAACCACTTTCCTGCGTTCCTCCCGCTGTTGCGTGCCGTGGTCTCGACGTCCGTGGTGCTGAATTCGTCGCAGCTGCTCCGTCTCGTGCCTGTGTTCAAGTCGACGTTGATCGTGTTGCTGGGCCACTGGAACAGTGTCAAGGGCGACCTGAGCGTCGAGAACGTCGACGTGCCTCCGTACATGCGCAACAAGAACCAGCTGGCGATCACGTGCGAGTTGCTTCGGCTCGTGCGCAGCACCCGTTGGTTGCCGGTGCCTTTGGGCAAGACAGCGGAGCTGCTGCCGCTGACGACACCGGCCGACATTCGCTCGATCCTCTTCAGCTGCTGGTTCTATCTGTCCGACCACCCGCCGAAAGCTGGACTGCGTGGACCTGCACCATGTGCCCCATCTGCGCCACCGTCTCCGCTGTCGTCGGTCTCGTCTCCTGTTGGTGCTGCTGGTGCTGGAGGTGCTATTGCAGGAGGTGCTGGAGGTGGTCTGTTCAGCTCGTCCAGTTGTGGCCCCAGCTCGAGCTCGAGCTCGAGCAACCCGCCGCTCGAGTTCTACTTGATCCCCGTACGGAGAGCGCTGCACCGCAACATTGGCAAGATCGGCGCCAAGTATCCGCTGTTTGCGTGCTGATGGAGACAGACGCGCCGTGTGTCGACCGTGTCGCCATTGTATCGCATCGTATCGTATCGTGTGTGTGCGTGTGTACTATAGTGATCCTACGTTCGTATCGTGCGCGTGTTTGGTGACTCTCGGTATCCTGCGTCCGTATCGTGTGTTGTGCACGATAGCAGCAGCACGCTATCGACGCTTTCGAGCCGACGCCTCGCGTCCCACGCGCTTGCAGTCCGTACTTAAGCGCTGGCGCGCACCCCCCGCCCCCGCTCGCTGTGTGCTGGTTTTCATCCAATCAGCGGCTCCTTCGGCATCGATGGAGACGCGAACCGGAGCTCTTCCCGATGGCCGCCGCCGCCGCCGACGTGGAGCTGCTGCTCGTGCGCATCGACCGCTTCCAGGACCGCACTAAGTACGTCTCCGTGCTGCGCGCGTGGCTGCGCGAGCTCGAGATCGCGCACGGGCGTCTGATCCGCATGGGCGCCGACCTGCAGCTGCTGTTTGTCGCGGCGTCGGCGTCGCAGAACGCGCAGCTGCGGCAGTGGTACCGCACGCGGCCCATTGACACGAACTGCCGCGGCGAGCAGTGCGTGGACAGGTTCGTGGACGTGTTGGGGACGAAGACGGTGCAGCGCTGCAGCTGCAGGGGCTTTGTCGAGATGGAAGTGCTGGTACAGAGAGAGAGAGAGAGAGAGAGAGAGAGAGAGAGAGAGATGACACGGAGAGAGAGATACATATATATGTACACATGTAGAGAGCGAGAAGTTGGGGTGACAGAGGGCTGACGGACGGACTGACTGTTGGACTGACTGACTGTTGGGCTCTTTTTTTGCTGGTGGTGGGTAGAGCCCGACGTTGCTGCAAAAGGTGCTGGTGCACGAGTGGCAGGCAGAGCAGGAGTGGCTGGACACGGCGCTGGCGACCACGCGGACGAAGGCGTTTCTCGCGTGGAAAGAGGCCGCAAAAGCTGCGCGTCAACAGCGGAGGAAGAAGGAGAGACAGGAGAAGGAGGACGCGCGCGCGCGGAAGCGAGCAAAGAGAGCGCAGGAGAGGCCTGACGAACGGGACGGGCACGAGGAGGCAGAGGTCGGTGGGGAAGCAGCCGCGCGAGACGCTTCGGTTGAGGTGGACGAGGACAGTACGCGGCAGACAGCAGTAGCCGCACCGAAGCAAGAGGAGGTCGAGCAAGGGGAAGTCCAGCAGCCGTCGAAGAAGGCGGCGAGGCCGAAGAACAAGAAGGCAAAGCAGCAGCCAAAGGTGGCAAAGCAGGTCTGAGCTTCAGTCTGGATCAAGCACATCATCAACTGTGCTTTTGACACAACAACGTTGTTGTGTTGTCGGTAGTGACGATCGCTCACTTTTCTTTCCGTGGCCGCATGTGGAGGTGGCGTCGCTTATTCGTCTGGTCGAGCGTGTCATACAGCATTCCTACGAGTGACGTTGCCACGGTATTTTCCTCTGCCTATGGCACACGGACACTGGACTGCGGCATCACGTCAACAATCAATTGGAGACAGTAAGCTACGGCGTACACTACAGATGCGTGCGTGCGCGTGTGCGGGTGACAGGCCTCAGAGCTTGCCAAAATGGACGATCAAGTCCAAACAACTCTGCAGGACGTTGCAGCTTGAACGACATGGCCTGCTGGCACAATTGGAAAAGCTCATGATGTGGTCGCTCGGTGCCCAGCGACCTGCACAATGTTCGACTTCCATCGCGACTCGACGCAATGGTATTCCCCACCAGCTCTACCCACCCACTACCCGATCCAATTTCGCACGTCTTTTCAAGTCACGATCGCTGGACAACATGTGCAGACAGACCCTCATCTGCACAACGTGTGCAGTTGGTAGTGCACCAGCTGCATGACGCGTCAACAGTGTCATACACCGCTGTCACTGCTGCTCCACCTGGAACAACACACAAAGGGTCCAGCACCTCACGTCGCCTTTAAGCTGACGTCAAGGCGGACCAGTAAGCACAGGACTGTCCAGTGCCTGGACATTGTGCGTTGCAGCAAACAGTGGACTGTCCAACGTCTGGGCAATGTGCTTTGCAGCAAACACCGCTAACCGCTGCACGCCAACTTGTGCGTAGGGAAGCACAAAGGTCGGGAAAATCGTAAACACGTGCGGCAGATGCTCGTGCACGTCGAGTTCCCAGTTGGTCACGCCGTCTGCTTTGGCTTTCTGGGCGAGTCGCACCGCGTGTTGGTAAATATAGTCATAGCTTGCAGCTTGGACAAAGACCGGAGGGAGGCCACGGAGATCACAGTGAACCGATGAAGCGTCGAGCCACGTTGTGGGGTCCGCTGCTGTCGTGTGGTAGCCCAGTCGACCGGCCGCAATCATCTCGGGAGACAAGAGACAGCGAGCGGACGAGACGGCTGGGTCGCCTTGGGCTTCGACCTCGGACAGATCCACTGCGGGGCAGATCAGCGTCGCAGCTAACGGCAGCAGCGCGTGGCTCTCGTCTCGCAGTCGGAGGATCGTCGACATGACGAGGCCACCGCCGGCACTGTCCCCTGCAAGAATCGTCTGCTTGGGAGCAATCCCTTCGGTATCAATGAGGTACTTGTACGCTGTCACGACGTCGTTCGGCGGCGTGGGGAAGCAGTGCTCCGGCGCTTTGCGGTAGTTTCCGAGGAAGACGTCCACGTGGATCAACTCGTTCGTGCCGAGTTGACGGCACAGCTCCTTCTCAATTGCGGCGGCGAGTGTCGCGCCAAACGCAATGTAGAAGCGAGGACTCATGAGCGCACACCCGCCGCCGTGGATGTAGAGCACGACAAAGCGCTTGGCCGCCACGGGGGCCGCTGACCGCGTCGACCGAAGCCAGATGTGCTCGAGGTTGTTCACGTGCACTGCTTCGAGACGCCGGCCGTGCTGTCGACAGGCAAACCAGCCCAGCAAGGTGCCAAACGCTGCGCTCTGCGATCGAAGGGCACGTGCATGCTGGGCGTTCATTACCATGAGCTTGCCACGGGGTCCCCGCGTGCACTCGCGGATCACCGCACACACTACTTCAAAGCCGAGGGTCCAGTTCTGGTATCTCGGCTTGCACCCTCGCGCAACAAAGCAGCAGGCAGTTGAACTCACGACGGCGATCAACCGTGCGGCCAAGCGCACGGCTTCCCACGGCGAACGGCACATTCCCTTGAATGTCGCGTGGACCAGTGCCATCACGAGAGCGCCAGTGGCACTACCACACAGCAGTCGCCGCAGCAGCACACGCCGTCGCTCGGCGTTTGCCCAGCAGTGGCCTAGCACGGTCAGTTGCGCTCGCATCATCAGAATGCTGCTGCTTGGTCCGCTCTCCAGCTCTTGTGCAGCGTGCAGCTCGGAGCTTCAGATGTGACGTGATGCGTCGGACGAACGAGATCGCATTCTGTCAGCTCGTGACAGGATGAGAGTGGTGTCGCACTAGGTGCACGTTCAACCACATGAAATGACGACGATGACGACGACGACGACGACGACGATGGCAACGGCCGTTAACGGCTTCGTGCTTTTTCGTCCACCGCCATCAACATGCACTCTCAACGGCGGAAGTACCACACAAAGCACACACGCCACCATCAGCACAAGACCACGTCCACTCGATGCCGTGTCCTGTGCCTGACAACAGCATACGCAGCACGACGCGAAAGACGTACACACGTGAGAGAAACACAAAAGCGTCAAGAGACTCTACATTGCTTGGCAGAGAAATAGTGGAGAAGGTCGAGCGATCAATCGAGCGATCGATCGATTGATTGATCGTCCAGCCTCCACCTAGTTCCGTCGCTTCTTCGGACGGCCTGGAGCCCTGCGAGTTGCTGCTGCTGCTTGGATGTTGCCGGCCACGCGGTGAGTGTACCGGACGATATCGTCGTCGGCCATGATCTCGTCGGTAAAGGTTTGGCGACGCTGTTTCTTGGTCAGACGCGCCGAGTGGAACTCGTGCGCGCCCTCAATGACCTGACCCATTTGGAAGTGCTTGGGCAACGCGCGCGAGTGGTCGGAGCTCTTGTAGAACTTTTTCGGGTCCAAGTAGTTTCGCATCCGGAGGAGAGCAAAGTCCCGACGCGCATCGGCCGTCAGCTCTTCCGACTCAAAGTTGAACCAGCGGCGCCCCGCCGACTTTCTGTGCTGCGACTCGACGCGCTGTCGCTCCGAGTGCGCGACCGCTTTCCGGCTGGCTGCAATGATGTGGGCTTCTTCCAACGCCTGTGCCTCGGCACGCAGTGCAGCAGCACTCGAGCGCTTTGTCCCGTCAAAGCTGAAGAACGTCTGGTACGGCAATGCCGCACCGCTGTCGAGCTTGTTGGGCACCATGCGCTGCTTGACCAGCTCAGCAGTAGACACGTGTCGGGTTACGTGCGCAGCCACTGGCACCGACTGGGAAGCCGCCGTACATCTCGACAGGTTGAGCCCCGACGCAGCAACAAGAGCCTGCAACAACACACGACTTTGAGTCAGCGCCGAAGCACACAGACCGATATGTATCAGGCACGTACGTATTGATCAATATCCTCGTCGTCCTCTTCTTCTTCTTCTTCTTCATTGTCCTTCTTCTTCTCTTGCTCGTGCTCCTCCTGTTTGACCTCTATAGCTTCAGCTTCAACACGAGTCATCTTCTTCTGCTTCTTCTTCGTCTTTGGCTCTGAAATGGGTAACGTCACTTGTTCTAACTGCTCTTCGCTCGCAGCTGCTAATTGTCCTGCGCCAGCGCTCGCACGAGTGGCTGCTGGTGGGTCAACTGCAGCACACGGCGTGGGGCTCGAGGCCGCAGCTGTTGCCTTTGCCTGGAGCCGACGCGACGTCCGGCGGGTCTCGACCATCACGACGCTGTTCCGACAATTGGTTGGCTCGCGCGGGTTGTAGGTTGGGTGTAGCTCGAGCTGCAAATGTAGTTTGCAGAAGAAAAGACGGGGACGACGGGAGAACTGGAGGAACTGGAGTGGGAGACGGTCATTGGTCGTTTGTGGTTTGTGGTCGGACACAATCACAAGACAATATCGCTCGAGGTCGTCGCCGGTCGGACACAACAGCGGGACAATATCGCTCGAGGTCGTCTCTGGTCGGACACAATAGCAAGACAATATCGCTCGAGGTCGTCTCTGGTCGGACACAATGCAGCATTGTTGCGCGTAGAAGAGGACACAATAATTGCTATTGCCGTCGTCCGGGGGCTTGCCAAGCGTAGTCCTTATTATTCCCACACTTTCGTCATGGGCCGCAAGACGTCAAAAGCGCTACGCCACAAGCCATCTACTGTTCGTAGCACATACTATGTATCTATGTGTATATGCATACACATTGCTATCCGGCAACGCCTTTGGTTCTCACGCATTGTGTCTTTTTTTCTTTGTGTGCTTTTTGTTTCTTGTGCTTTTTTTCTCTCCCAGAAAGGCATGTTTGCGACCATAAAGCTCGACCACAGTGTGCCCACGACAACAACGCGCCGCCGCCATACAAAATCAAAGAAGAAACGATCGTCGTCGCACGTGGTGAATGGCGAAGCGCTGGCACTCATGCGGACACAGTTGCACCACATTGGCTGCAAACTGCTGGTACGTTGAAGTTGAGTGGTATATCCCGAAACTACTTTGTGTTATTATTGTTGTTATTGTGGGTTTTTTGTGGTTGTTGTGGTTGTTGTTGTTCATAAAGAGGTGTGTCTGGTGCCTTTTTTCGCTGTGGTGAATTGACTGCTGCTGTAGGAGGTCGAAGCCGATGGCAATTGTCTCTTTCGGTACGTCAGAAAGTGTCTGTTGCTGGCGTACTTGTGTCATGCAATCAATGGGCCCACAACGTTCAGCTTCTTGTTGCAGCGCGCTCGCTGATCAATTGTTTGGCGACCAGACCCAACATCAAAAAGCTCGTGAAGTCAGTTTGTAAAGATATCGTACGGTTGTGATGCCCTCTCATGAGACTGACAGGGCACGTGTGGCGTTGTGGGTAGAAAATCGTCGACTATCTGGAACAACATCGCGCCGACTTTGAACCGTTCATGGAAGACGGTGAGACTTTTGAAAAGGTATACCTGCAAGTTGGCAGCTTTGGCGTGTATCGATGTGTTTATGTGTGTGGGGATGATGAGAGCTCATTGACGCTTCTTTTGTTGTTATTCTGGATATCAGTACTGCGGGCGGATGCGAAAGGATGGCACGTGGGGTGGCAATCAAGAACTATACGCTGCTGCTCGACTTTTCCAGGTGTACGTGGTCGTCCATCAAGACCAACCAAGTGCCCGGATCATGGTCATCGAGTGCGATCGCCTTAGGCCTACGCGATTTGTTCACGTCGCTTTCCATGGTGAAGACCACTACGACAGCGTGCGAAGTATAACGGACCCTGTCGACCTTGTCGGCGTGCCACGACCGATTCAGTTGGATTGTGATGGCTTCCGTGCAGACGATTTTGCAAAGGTGCGTGCACTTGTTGCTGTATGGCTTCTCATCGTTGCTGCAAGTTTGTCCTGAGTTTGCGTTGAGCGATCTTGTCTTCGATCGTGCAGCGATGGCAGACACACGCGAGCTCTGCTGCTGCTGCAGCTGATGATTCATCGCATCAGTGCGTTGTTCCGGAGCTACCTGCCGTTCCAGTAGACGGTGAAGTCGATCGACTAGCCAGTGCTCTCAGTGACCAGCTACAAGTAGCAGCCGGAACGGACCGTAAGGCAAGTAGTAAGACGATGAACAAGAAAGAGCAGCGACAAGCCCGCAAAGCCGCTAAGATGCAAAAGAAGCTGCAACCGAAAGATACGTGAGCGATGAGGCAGATGCTGCCTGAAGAAGACACGACTCAAGAGCTCGAACGGAGCAGTCGATCCAATGAATCAAAATGCCGTGTTCGATCCACCTTCTCGCGCGTCATGTTGACCAGGCCCTTCTCATGCGTAACATGATAACGTCTGCTGATTGTCTCGATCGTGCGTGCCGTATTGACTTCTCATTGTACGTATGAGCCACCACCATCACTTACCACGTCTAAAGCCAGATCAAGTCACAGTCGAGCCTTTGACTCCGAAAGTGGCACAAGGTCGTGTCTTGTGGTAATGTGGTCGAAATGGTTTGTGGGTCGCGCATGACTGCATTCAACGCAAGTGATGTTGCTATCCAATGTGCTCATCAACGGACACACACATCAAGCGGTTTGCAAGTATCTGCTTCCAATGCATCTCGATGTGTAGCTCTGCTTGCCGTCGATAAGGCGTACTGTCACGAGTAAACTCAGCATGACTTTGCCTGTGCAAAGTCTGATCGAGTCGTTCCGGAATCAAATTTGTCTTGTGATCGAGTCATGAATCGAAGAAGAGGAAGTGTCTCGGCACTACCACTTTCCCGCAGTTGTGATGCTGATCAAAGGCAAACCCAGCGAGTTCAGAAAACTTTGAGCAGCTCCTGCATAAGACTTGATCAACACTTTCATGGCCGACCTGGACGAACGTGCACTGTAGTGTACTAGACACGATCAATAACGAGTCACGTATTTTTTTGCAATGTACCTCCACTCTGAAAGTGATCGGCAATGTGCTGTCTCGTTTGTAACTGGGTCGTTGCAGGAGCGTTTGGCTCACTCTCAGTACCAAAGCCACTCACTATGTCCTATTCCTGCGCAGCTGACGTCGTTATGAGGTAGCAGTAAGTTGAACATGACGTGTCCATGGACTTGTTCACTTGACGTCCACAGTCTGATCGAATGACAGGTCATTGGTTTGAGGAAGTCCTATCATTATCGCGCTCGCGCGACAGTTGCTGCTGCTTTTCTTGCATCTGAATCAGCAATTGCACCCAACCCCAAAAAATATTCACAAGTGTTACAATGAGTCAGCCACAGATCAAAAAATGTTTGCAACGTAACACGACATAGTTTAGTCAACGGACCTTTTCTCGGACTTCGTGCAGACATTGCCAGCCAAAGAGAATGCGCTTGGAAATGGTTTCGCTATCCTATTGCAACATTGTTCGATAAATATCACAGTAGAGTTGCCAACTGCTTTCGCTGACAAACATCCGTAACAAACGCCAACCGTCTCGTGGCGATTCTGCTCAATCTCCGTGCGAGCATTTTGCTGGAGCACCGACGACCACGGCTGCCCTTGTTCGTTAGGGTGCAAAAACATACGCGTCGAGCGCAGGATCTTGCGGTACAAACGCAGCACTTCTTTCCGCTTGTCAAGCCGTGCCATTTTCTAACTGTTGCATTTCAATATGGCACTGGCCCGTGAGTTGTGCAAGTGATGTGCACCACGCAACTCAATAATCTCAATACGTCCGTCGCCTTTCACAGAACTTGAGGTCAATCGAGTGGAGAAGAAGAAGAAGCGATAGACGGAGATTTGTCGACATACTGAGGGTACATCGTTCAGTCTCTCTCGCACATTGCAATATTGTGGTGCACATCCGTTTGCTCTGCAACACGATGTTTACAAATGGAACCGGTAAGACAGTGGTGGAAGAAGAGACTGAACGTACTGTTATCGTCGGTGTGTATTCATCGCCATGTACGTTAGTGTGACTTCGTCTGCTGCATTGAACTCGCCCGTGTCAGCAATCGGCAATAAATAAGATGCAGGCGAGTTGATGTTTCGTGGTCATATTAAGTTGCAACCACGACGCTGAGTGAGTGGTAGAAAGAAGCCGTAGGTTTCTGTCCTGCCAGCATTTGTATGCCGATACGGGACGCAACACCGCTGGTCAATTGCAGTGTCACAACATGTAGTGGCGACTGCAACAGCTTGGCCATCGAAAAGTGACGCAGCGATGAATTCTACAATAACTTCTGCCAGGTAAGGAGTCGACATCCATCGCATCGGTTGCGCTGTTTCGCGGAGAAAAGCTTTATCAAACGAAAGTCCATTGACGGTGAAGCTATGTGTACGATTCAGTGTGATGTCTAAGGGAACATGAGTGTGCCTGGTGGCTACATTTGCACAGCGAGAGAGACTACAAACTCAACAAGACCCATTATCTCGATGGTACGCAGAAACCACACGTGCTGAAAGCTGGGCTGCATGTGTAAGTGATCGAACAGCACGTCATGCACTGGCATTGTCATCGATGACAGCGAAGTCACCTACTTACATGGCTGCGATGAAGACCAGTCGTGTTGCTAATCGTTTCCGATACCCGGTTATATATGTAGTTGACAAGAGCAGTTCGGATGTCAATAGTTACCAGAGCTTCTATTACTTAAACTGCAAGCAAGATAACGTTCAAGATACATATATGCGTGCAAGATGGCATTCCGTGTACCGTCAAAAGCGCTCTTACTACCTCGCACGATGCGATTGCGTGTGGTGTACTGGCGTATCTACCACGCAGTCTGCAACAACTCAGCAAATTGAGCGCCCCTGGCACCACACCTAGACTGCCAAGCATGGCGATTTAGACGAAGTGTATCCAATCGACATGCTAAAGAGTCTTTTTCGTGTCGAGAAACGGCAAGCGACTCGCAACAAAGTTTTGCTCGGTCCATGTCGGGTGCCGCCGATCCCGCGGTTCGGACGCCATTGTACTGCAATCGGACCCACCATGACTCCAGACAGTGTCTCTCGGTCGCCGTGGCCACACGAGACAACATCGAGGTCTCATAATAAATACCGAATCAGGAATCAAGCACGTTGCAAAAGCCGCCGGCGAGCGTGACGCTCGTAAATGGTATTCCAGTACGATCTAGACAATACAGATTGCTTAGCTGCTGAGCTGAGGTGTCCATGAGCGCGCAATTGCATCTTCGGCCGGCGTATGTTGTAAAGAATTCCTAGACAAAAGATGTCCGACACAATCTCTTTTGTCGTGATCACAGCTTACTCGGTACACGAAAAGAAGCTGAGGTTGGTGCGCCAATTGCAAGGGTAAGGACATGTGTGAATACACGCAGATACTATTTGAAAGTGAGCAACTATGGAGTACCTCCATGCAAAGGATCAGTAACTCTACTAGTCGCTGCTTCATATGCGCATAGATTCGGAAAAGGTATCAAGCTGTTCTTTTTTTTACTCGTCCATGTGGTCGTTACTGTACCATCTGGTACTCGTGAAAAGTGCGTACCACCTTATGTCCGTCGTGGACGAGCACCGAGTAGAAACTCAGTTAGAAATAGCGCGCACTCTGCACATGTATCTATTCGCGGTAGCTAGTCACGGTACCTATTCACTTGCGGTCTTTATTCCCTTGCGGTCTTTATTCCCTTGCGGTCTTTATTCCCTTGAGGTTTTCTGACAATGTCGCACGAAGGTGCGTCAAACACCATTACCACCTCTCTCTGCGACAAATGAAGGCGCTGATCCTCGTGGGCGGCTTCGGCACGCGGCTACGGCCGCTCACACTATCGTGTCCAAAGCCACTGGTGGAGTTCTGCAACAAGTCGATCGTCGTGCATCAGATCGAGGCACTCGTGGCGGTACGACGCGTCCTGACCGCCGATTTCTGTCGTTTTCGACATCACAGTGTCAAAAACAGAAAGTTACTGACGATTTATTGGCATTGTGTGTCGATCGGTTGTGGTCTTGTCAAAATGAAGGTGGGCGTGACCGAAGTCATTTTGGCCGTCAATTACCAGCCTCAAGTGATGTTGGCCGCTCTCGAGTCGATGGAAAAGAAGGTGCAGAGAGACGTTTGGCAGGACGTATCTTGCGTTGCGCTTGTTTTTGACACTTGCACGGCCATTGTTTTGTATGCTGTTGTCAATAATTGACTTGTTTTCGATTGTTGACAGTACCATATCAAGATCTCGTGTTCCCATGAGACCGAGCCATTGGGTACGGCGGGGCCATTGGCTCTCGCACGGGAGCTGCTGGACGACGGTGACCCGTTCTTTGTGTTCAACAGCGACGTCATTTGCGAGTACCGGCTGCAGGACTTCCTGGACTTTCACAAAACTCATGGAGCAGAAGGCACTTTGCTCGTGACTCGAGTGGACGAGCCGTCAAAATACGGTGTAGTGATCTCGAATGACGATGGACAGATCCAGCGCTTTGTGGAGAAGCCGCGCGAGTACGTGGGCAACAAGATCAATGCAGGCATCTACATTTTCAACCGTGAAGTGCTGGACCGTATCCAGCTGCGTCCGACGTCGATTGAGAAAGAAGTGTTCCCGCAAATGGCCGCAGAAGGAACGCTGTTCTCGATGGTGCTGTCGGGCTACTGGATGGACATTGGTCAGCCGAAGGATTTCTTGTCGGGCATGTGTCTGCATTTGGACTTTGTAGAGCGCACGAAACCGGAGACGCTGTCGACGGGTGCCAAGTACATTGGCAACGTGATGGTGGACTCGACTGCAGTGATTGGCGAGGGATGTTTGATTGGCCCTAACGTCGTCATTGGCCCGGGATGTGTGATTGAAGACGGTACGAGCTGTTGTCGGTGTCGATGGCCCCTAGCATGCTCACGTGTCAACCGTTATGCTGATCGATTGCGTGTGTTCATGTGTAGGCGTTCGACTCAGCCGGACGACGCTTCTTCGAGGCGTAACAGTTCGCGCTCACGCATGGATCCACTCAAGCATCATCGGGTGGGGCTCAACGATTGGTCGATGGGTGCGTGCGAGCAGTCTTGTTGCAGTAGCCGTCGCTCGAGGAGGTACTTATGAGTGCACCATTGTGTCACGCGTTCCTTTGTCTGTAGTGCCGAATCGAAGGGATCACTGTTGTGGGAGACGATGTGCAGGTGAAGGACGAAAAGTTTATCAACGGCGGCCTCATCCTGCCGCATAAAGCCATCTCGGACAGCATTCCTGACCCAGGTACTATCGTCATGTAAGTGGGAAGTATCACCGCCGCGGCAGACAGCAATCACGACGACAACGGGTCTTGCTGTAGGAAGCGCGTGTTGCTCGTTGCATCTCGCTTTCGAACCAAAAATGAATGGATTGACGCTTGTTCAGCTTGTTACAACCATCGTGTGCGTTTTTCCGTTCCGCGAGCTCATAAGCAGTCCTTCGCTTGCCCGTATACAGGCCACGCAACTGGACAAGTGCGTGCTCTTATCGCGCGGAAACGCGCGTCCGCACCAGTGAGACAACGAAAACCGGACGCAGGTTCGTCCTCGTGATCTTACAAAGCTGGCATTTGTCCGACGGCGGAAACGCACAGGTAGGTGAGAGTGGTCATTGAAAAGGCAGTTGTTTACTATACGAATGCACGGCAGATGTATCTCGGGCCCCTAGTTTAATTCCAAGAGGCTCGACGCGGTTGCGCACAACGTGGAGATCATCGATTCCACCCATGTGGTTGTCTTCGGCTGCCCTGCGAAGCTTAGCACGGTCGCGGTGACGGTAGGCGCCCTTGAGCGTTTCACCGAAAGCGACCATGACCAGGGCAAACACCATGGAGAACATCCACTCGTACCACTGGATGTACGTAAAGCCGAAGATACGATCGTTGAGAACGGGGATAGTGGTGACGGACAGGGTCAAGACCAGCGAGCCCAGCGCAGCCATCTGCATCCACTTGTTGCTGAACATGTCCTTGCAAACCGATTTGGTGAAGCTGCGAGCTGTATACGCGCGAAGCATCTCCATGGTCGTGATGTACACAAATGCCATTGTTTGCGCGCGCGACGTGCCTTCAGACACGCACTCGTAGTCGCCGCCGAAGCACAAGAGCTCGTCGCTCTCGTAATATTGCAGTGCACGGATACTCTCAGCAAAGAGGTACGTGTTATTGAGATCACGCGCCCCGCAATTACTATACTCCTGTCTAATGTTACCCAGGCCCATCCAGCGAGAACAGACGACATTCCTGTAGGCACCTTCGCCCTTGTCGGTATCAACGCCAGCCGTGATGTCATCCAGCAGAATGTGCTCAAAGTTCCAGTACAGACCGCACGTGAACACTACGAGGGCGCCAGCAGCAATCAACAAGGCATTCGACAGCACAATGACCCAGAGACGACCAAAGAGAATGCGCTCGGAACGAGGGCGGGGACGCTCTAGCATCACTGAGCCATCCCCTTTTTCAAGACTCAGTGCGACAGCAGCCATGCCGTCGGCAAACAGATTAAGCACCAGAATTTGCAACGGTTCCAGAGGATTGGGCATACCAATGGCAATGGCCGTGAAGATCAGAGAGATCTCCCCAAAGTTGGTCGAAAGCAGAAAGCACACGAAGCGCTGGATATTGCCGTAAATCTGACGGCCCTTCTCGACGGCAGACACAATGCTGCAAAAGTTGTCGTCCGTCAAAATCATGTCTGAAGCACCTTTGGCAACAGCGGTACCAGCAATTCCCATTGCCACGCCAATGTCAGCTTTCTTCAGCGCAGGGGCGTCATTCACACCATCGCCAGTCATTGCGACTACGTGACCTTGACGTTGCAAAGACTTGACAATCTCGAGCTTATCTTCTGGTCGAGCGCGTGCGAACACAGACACTTGACTCGTGAGTTCGTCCAGCTCTGCTTCGGACACATACTGGTTTGAACGCGAGCGCAGGACACCGCAATCCACAGCTTGAACGTCAATATCGTCGCTACCTGCTGGCAAAAGGTCAATATCACGAGCAATGGCCACAGCCGTCTTGAGGTAGTCCCCAGTTATCATGACAGTCCGAACAGAAGCTTGCCGAGCCGTCTGAATAGCATCCTTGACACCCGCTCGAGGAGGGTCAATGGAAGCAACGAGACCGATAAAGATCAGGGATCCGCAGAGAGCCTGGAATTTTGCCTCGACGTCTTCTTCTTGAGTTGGAAAAGGCACCCGGTCCAACGGACGAATCGCGACTGCAAGGACACGAAGTGCTTCAGACGACAGCGTATCGACAGCTTGCAGAATGCCGTTGCGATCGCGATCGGTCAAGACCGTAATCGACCCGTCCTGACGCAACATTGTGGTGCACTGCTTGACAATGTAATTTGGTGCTCCTTTTACGTTGGCAACCAGCTTTGTCGGGCATGGCAGTTGCAACAAGTCCAACTGCGACGTTCCAGCTGGAAGTTCATTCACACTGATCATCATCTTTCTCGAAGACGAGAACGGGACCTCGATCACCCGAGGATACATCTGCAGAGCATCGTCTCGCCAGATACCTGCTTTGGCAGCTGCAACAATGAGCGGCGCTTCCGATGAATTGCCCATGGGAACCCACGTCAAAGCCCCATGGTCGTCTTCCTCTTGCTGCAATCGCGTATTGCTGCACAATGCTGCCGACAACAATGTCGTGCGCACGGGAATGGACACCGATGGTCCCTTGAGTTGGCTTTCACCGTCGCGAAGAATATCGCCAGTCGGATTGAATCCCGTGCCAGTGATCTCGTACTCAACGGCGTCGCTCCAGAGCTTCACAGCCGTCATTTTCCCTTCCGTCAGCGTCCCGGTCTTGTCCGTGCAAATGACCGAGCTCGCACCAAGTGATTCGACTGCAGCCAATTTACGTACAAGGACGTTCTTCTTGACCATATCGGCGGTGCCAGTGGACAAGCAAATGGTAACGACCATCGGCAGTCCCTCTGGTACAGCACTGACAGCTAGAGAGACGGCAATCATCACGACATTGAGCCAGACTGCGCGGTCGGGATGCTTTGGATCGGCATTACCACGCACTATGCCAACGACAAAGACAATTGCGCAGACACCGAGCACAACCGTGCCCATGAAGACACCAAGTTTGTGCAGGCTGAGCTGCAAGGGAGTCATCTTGACAGCATTGCTGTCCTTCGATTGATGCCAGCAGTTGACGTCGTCAGCTTTTCGGCCTCCGCTCTTGAGCAGCAACGCAATCGATCCAACACGTGTCGACATGCCAGTCTCCACGACAACACCAATTGCATTGCCCAGTGCAATGGAGGTCGAAGCAAACACCATGTTCGTGGCCGTCAATTTCTCGCTCGAGCTGCTCGCCACCTCCGCGTCGACTCTCTTCAGCACGTCTTCCGACTCACCCGTCAAGGTCATTTCATTCACCTTCAAGTCCGCGCTCGACACGAGACGAATATCTGCTGGTACAATGTCGCCTGTCGTCAGCACGACCATGTCACCAGGGACAAGCTGGTCACTCGGGATCTGCACTTGGCGGCCGCCATCCCGCAGCACCATACATCGTGGAGATGTCATTTTCTGAAGCGCTTCGAGCGCGTTGCTGGCGCTGTGTTCCTGGACCGTCGCAATCACGGCATTCAGCGTCACAATGGCAATGATCGCGATCCCTTCGACGTACTCTTGCAGAGCAATGGAAGCCACAGCTGCAGCTACGAGGAGACCAATGATCACATTGGTAAACTGCATCAAGAACATACCAACGACCGACGTTTTTTTCTCTTCGTCCAGGGCATTAGGGCCACGCGAGTCGAGTCGATCCAAAGCCGTAGCCGTATCCAGTCCACGCTCGGCATCCACGGCCAAGTCCTTGAGAATGGTCGCCACGGCCTTTTCCGGCCACGTCCATTGACGGTCTGCGTCGATACTGTCGTCAATGTCCACCAGCGACTCGTGCGGTGTGCGGTTCACCGTCGAAAAAACGACAACCTGCTCGACGTCCCCATTCATAGTCGGGTGGTCACTACTGTGCACTGCAACTTGACCGTCTTCGAGCGCCGCATCAACTGGCTGTATGCTGACACGATCACGTCCCACTCTCGTGACGTGACTGCCTCCAGGAGTTTCCACTGCAGCATATGGAAAACTACAAGTCGACGACGACGACGACGGCGGCAACGGCGTCTCTTGGGCTGAGTCAAGTGCGACTACTACGACTTCTGACGCCGCTTGTCCCACGTCGCTCGACTCAAAGCATGGGGTGCGGTCATGCAAGTCGAGCGGATCGACCATTCAATGGCAAACTACGACCACAGCACACGCGCACGTGGTAAAGTGAGCGAGCAATGGGGCTCTGAAGTGGGACACGGAGCGGGTGAGACGACCGCAGGAGATTCGAGAATGGAAGAAAAGAAGTTTTGAGGACGGCATCGGACGGCATTTGTTTTTGCTCATACTGACTGCAACGACGGTAACGATTTGACCGTTAGCAGTGGATGCTGTCTGTCTGTCAGTTTGTTTGTTTGTTTGTTGTCTATCTGTCTGTCAGTTTGTTTGTATGTTTGTTTGTGTCTGTCTGTGTGTTAACATTTGTGGGTTTGTTTCCAATGTAACTACCGGTCGACGTTTGGTCGAACGTGTGCGTTACGGTCGGGCGGGCGCAAACAGGTTCTGTGAGCCAGCGGGGACGGCTCCTCGACGAAAAAAACGCGAAAACCTCAGACGTAGAGGATCTGTGTCATGGGTTTTGGAATTGGAGCCACTCGGTGCCTGCTACGCTACACTGCGGTCCAGCGTACCGACGCCACTTGACTTCTTCTTTCTTCTTCTTCTTCTTCTTTTGCCAAAACGTCGACGCCCTTTAGCCGATGGACTGCTGTTGTCCTGCGACTGCTCCATCTGTTCACGAACCGCATACAAAGATCGACGACACCAGAATGCGTGCAATCATGACATGCGTACACATGATAGGGCGAATGTATGCGTCTCGAATCTGGTAGCGCGTCCAGTCAGTGACTGCCTCCTGACATCACACCAACTCATCCTCATGAATCACATTCTCTGGACCACTTGACGTGATCCGTAACCCGGAAAGTCGTGACGCCGTGAAAGACAGATCAGACATTGGACAGTCGTAATATCCCACGGAATCGCCTTTTTGCAGTCCGATAGCGCCATGAGCAGTACCCGCCGAGAGTGTGTTCGAAGTCAGTATCAGCGGTCGCAAACACATTGAATAGGGACGCGTGGACGATGAATGTCGTCAAATACATCGGATCATAATGGCTCATGTGCATAAGAGAAGAGGGGGTCCGATCTTGTACAACATGGTCCTGTCGAGAAAAAAGCGACAACGCGTGATCATACTTTTCAAGCTCTACTATGTACATGTCAAATCCGCCATGATCTCGACCTCCAACCAAAGCACCAGCTTTTGTTGGTAGCCACGGGCTCTGCCAACTACCAAACACATCACGCTTGTGCTGCTTCTACGGTTCCTGAGGTATACAATTACGTTCGTGCCGACCGGTGCCCAATCGAAATCAATCGTAGCAATAGAACGGCCTCGACAGCGGCAGTTCGAGCATCTCCATCAACTCCGATTGAAATCGAAGTGGACGTCGCTTTGCACGGGCTGGAAACCAAGTGCTGCGCCAGTCTGCTCGGATTCCACCACGGCCGGGCCTAGTGTCGGATCTGTCTCGTCGTCCTCGTTGTCAAACCACGTGTCAAGCAGCTGCGACGCCATGCTGCTTACATCGTCATTCTGGTCGTACGACAGTTCCTCTATTTTGGCCAGACATCCGCTCTCCTCGACGGCAAGACGGCCTTCCTGTGGATCCTTTTGCAACAAGCTCTCGACTGCCTCTAGAATGACCAGCTCCACCAACGGGTCTTCCCACTCGTCAAGGAGCGGGCAGAACAGCTGCAACACGCCCATTTGCACGACTTTCTTGACAAAATCGAGATTAGCGCGCACAATCAGGTTGCATATAGCCCACGTAGCCTCGCGCTTCACACCGTACTCTGCCCACGACATCTGCTCCACTAACCCGGCAATTACGCCAGTGGCGTTCATCATGGCGACTACCTGCTCTTCTTGTCCACCAGCAATGTTCGACAGCATCCAGCATGCTTCCTCACGCACGGCACGACTCGTTGCGGTCATAACCCTCGGGATCACGTCGAGCAGCTTTGCATCAATCACGGCCTGGGAAAACGAGATCTCTGCAGAAACAATGTTGCCCAGTAGTCGCAGAACCGGTGCGAGGATGACGCTACTCTGAGAAATGTGCAGGAGCTCAACAAGTCGGGGGCACAAACTTGCGTTGACGATCCCGCCAACAACGTCGCTGTCGTGCAGCGTCATTTCGACCAGTGCCCAGCAGCTGTCGCAGAGCGTAAGCAGTTGCTCGTCCAAAAGATCTGTCTCGTCGTCCTCGTCCTCATCTTCGCCGATCACATCGTCCATGACTTGCAGTGGACGCATGTCTGCCTTCTTTGCCTGGAACACCATATTTTCGCCCGTCTCGTAGTTCACGTCAACATCCATGACTTCCACGGTCAATTCATCCACTTCGCGCACGCACCGCACGACGGCAAGATCGTTCGGAGCTGGCTTTCCTGTGTTGATCTACAGCAGTAGCAAGAGCGACTTGATTGAGATCAATTGTGTGTAGATACTGTCTACGATCCTTCTACCGCAAGCAGCGTACCTCAAAGATCCGCCACGGAGCAACTGCCACTCCTTCTTTCATCTTGCTTGCATCGCTCTCTTGACCGCTCGACGACGCAAAGTTGCTCACCTTTTCGTTCGATAGCTGGCGAATGATGCTCGAGAGTACGTCCATCATCTCCCGCTTAGTGTTTGGGACCATAACGCCACTCGTATCCAAAACCTCCGGAAACTCCACAAGACTACGCAGCAGCCACACGGCAGCGCGCCGAAGAGCCGGCGTCGCCATCCGAATATGCGGGAGGACAATAGTCGGCGGACAAAACTTGACAATTTCCTTGCAACACTCGGCCGAAGCCGATGCAATATTGCCGAGACACCACGCAGCTTGAATTTGCAGCTCCGAGATACCAGATTGAAACAGCTGCACGAGCTTCGGCACGGCCCCCGACGTGATGACCGCATCGGCTTTGTCCATCGACGAGATAAAGCGCAGTGCAAACGCAGCGTCCGAGTGTAGCTGCATGGCATTGGCATCCACGAGGTGTTCGTTCAAAATGGCTACAAAAGACGGCAAAGCAGCCAAAATCGTGTGCCACAGCCCTTCATGTTGCGAGTCGCTCTTATTAAACAGCGGTGGTACACCACTGGACAGCAGGTAGACAAATGCCCGCATGGCTTTTTGTCGTGTCAGCGCGTCGGAATGCTCGATACCTATTGAAATAGGCCAAGTACATAAAACCCCATAGCAAAGGCCACAATTGTAAACGTATGGGAATGACACGATAGCAACATCAGGTCATCAATCGATCGGCCGAGTGATAGAAATAGAAAAACCGAAAGCGCGATCGATGGAGTGAAGGTGACGTGAAGGTACCGAGAAGCAAAGCCTGCGACCGAGAGGCCAAATTCAGGAGCAGCTCCTTGCGACTCGCAGTCTGCGCGGCGGCCGGGGGTTGGTTGGCCTTGAGGTTGCGCCGCATGGCATAGGCGTCTTCTTTCTTGGCTTTCCGGATCGACAACATGGTGTCCTGGCGGTTGCGGCGGCCCGTGAGCACGCCGACATGGCCGCCCACTTTGACAGACCGGCGGGTCGTCATGGCTTGAATTAGAAACGACTGGATATAGAATTTACGCACGATTGACACAAAACAATTCGGCGGCGGCGGCGACGTACGAGAAAAAGTGTCGTTTTAAAGAAAGACTCTTGTCCGCCGATCCTCGTTTTACATCGAACGACCTTGTGCGAATCGCGTTTTACATCGAACGACCTTGTGCGAATCGCGTTTTACATCGAACGACCTTGTGCGAATCGCGTTTTACAGAAAGATTTTGTCCGATCCTCGTTTCAGAAAAAGACGGCGACCAACGTGCGCAAGTTCACAACGGACAAAAGCGAAGTGGACGTCGCGTCGTGCGTAAGTACGGATTCCAGCCAGACCTGGCGATTCGGTATCGACAAAGGCGTTCAGAAGCATTGCACTCGTTTAGTCACTTGAACGCAAACGCTCAACTACTTGAGGTTCCGATGTTGGAAGCACACGAGCACAAAAAGCGACGCGGGCCCGTCGCGCTGTATAACTCGATGCCATGACTTGGACATGCTTTTCGCAGGTCGAAAAAACACAGCGACCCAGCACGTATGGACGCTTCGGGCAGTTGGTGGTGATCCTCCATCAAGGCTTCTGTATTAGTGCTCGGTCGTGCATGTAGTGAGGCATGTACATGTTACAGTGAGCTGCAGTGCTTATACACTAGCACTCGATTGCAAGACCCCTGTACTATCGAGTCCATGTGCCTTGAGTTGACACTGGTGTTGATCACGTAGCTGCTATCTGCGCGTTCGTTGTTGTTGTCACGATATCGTATCCGATCACGTGATCCCAGCGAATCGGTGAAGACTGCTCTTATGTCTCCAATGATCACATGTTTATCGTCCTCTTGGGCTTTTCATGTCCAAAAGACAGATCACGCCAATCAGCTTTCATGCAATCAATCTATCAGCTGAATTCTGTACGATATTGCCGATGCGCATCGACTTCCAGACCGTCATCAGCATCAGCCTTCTACGTCAGAGAAGCTTTCACGTCTTCGTATCTCATCGAAGACGTGTCTGCGTCTCTCTTCGCCTACTGCTAATACAGGCAACTACTTCGACCGCCACCGTCATGATGTTGTAAGCTATCGTACTGACATCCTACACCTGCTTGATCATTATCGCACTTACAATAAAATGGCGGATCGACTGGCGAATATCGCTATGGACACAGGAGCTTCGGTTCAAGCGCACGCTTCTTCTAACCCCGTTCTAGTCCAGGAGGCCGCGACCGTCCTTGATTTTGATGTCAATCATTGGTTGGAGACCACTCAGGCCGAACAATACGTCATACAGGGCCCCGTACTGACACCGAGGAACCTGATAATCTCGCGACAGGAGTCTGCGCGCAGGCGTTCTGATGTTCGAGACCTAATGCTGCCTAGTATATAAGGTATATAAAGTAGCAGTCTCCCCGGTAACCTTGTTGCTGGGTGACGGGATATAGCAGGTCGTAAGCGTACCTAAATATACCTCACTTTCTCACTCACTCACACCTGCTTGATCGGCAAGAGCGAACATGTTGTTCTAGCCGAGTTCACTCAGCCCACTAGAGGAGGGCGCTTCGCTTGTATGTCGAGTTTCACACACTCTTAGGTCGTCCTCGTTCCAAACTGTTGTGTTGCACTCGAGCCACGTTTGCTCCGTCAGCAACCTCGAGGGCCTTACAGATCAAGAATTGTCGTCGACGACAGACATCGTTGGCAAAGTCCATCGAACCTACTTGACTAGACCGCGGCCTGGCACGATTCTCACGCTTTTTCGGCGACGTAGTCATCATGTTTTCACGCGGTCTGGTCATAGAGGACCTCACACACTGCCCGCCACTTCCACCCTTGAAGATGGGGCCTGCCAAGTCCGAGGCAGATCTGTAGCAGGATCAGTTTGGGGCAGTCGCGCCGGTTGTAGCCGGGTCTGTAGCACTCGAAGTAGCCTGATACTCGTGCCATCTGCTTGCGTCGCACGTCCATGTTGCCAGCACCCGCTTCGTCTCGGTCTCGCTAGTGCGCTATCCAGTGGTTGCACTACAGGAACTTCCCGTACCGCAGCTTTATTCTTTCTAGCTCAACAACTGCAGTGATACATAGACGCTCCGCGGACCTCCGACCACCGGGACCCATGGCAAAGGACCGTGACCCGAGTGTGCAGAAAGCAGCCCACAAAGGACAAAAGCTGCTCTGATGCCGTGAGAGGTAGTAGTAGAAACTCGAGCCCCTCTGGCATCAAAGCTGCTCGTTGTTCAGAAGCAGACGAATCGGCGACAGCAACAAATCGCTGCAAAAACGACCTGCTTTGTCGACTCGACTGCCTCGCCGTCTTTCCCTCAAGCGACTCGGTCTGCGCATCGCGAGTGAGAAGGTGCTGGCCGCTGCAGCATATTACCAGCAGTGTACCCCGTCGTACAAAAGACTCCACGCCTTCCAGAGCCCATTGTCAGCATGTTCCGAAAGCTCTGAACGCATCCGCGCGGCTTCCTAGTCGCGTTGCCAATACCACTACCCCCCCCGCCTCTTCATGCATGGCCTTCTCGGAATAGCACCACAATGTTCGTAGCCAAATTGATATCCTCGTAACTGATTGACGTCGTCGCGCTGATGAGATTCGTTGTGAGGTACAAAGAGAGCACATCGTCATAAGTTTTAGCGAGCCCCGGCAACAACTCAATGGTCACGAGAGAAAGCGTTTCGTGCCTTATTTCGTGCCGCGGTCGACTGCTGAGCTCCGGAACAACAAGTCAGTGTCGAGGAAGCAGTTGCGATAACATGTCACGACGGGAGGCAGACGCGGACGCAGCTTCAGGTTCAAGGGCCGCGACATGAGTAGCACTCGGTGAAAAAAGAAGCAGCAGCAGCAGCAGCAGCATCTGGACCAAACCAGCTGCCGTGGCCGTCAAAAGGGCGATGCAGCACCAGGTCGCTAGAGATGTGGTCTCAAGAGCAGCGCAAAGTCACACGCCCGAGACGACGCCTGGCCCTCAGCACTGCCAACCTACCGAGACCTGCATGTAATTAGCCTGTCAAGACATGACACATGCGCGAGCGAGCAGTCAGCGTACATCGGACATCGGACGCAGGTTGTGGTTTATTGAAAAGGCATAGAGACATTAGCAACGTGACGTCTAGCTAAACAGAAATGGCTCCGTACGGCCCACGATCTCTCGAGCGATGCGTAAGGAAGGGGCTTGCAACAGACCAGCTCGGTCTCATTGCAGGAGGCTTTCGTCGCATGGAGCCATTGCCGAGCTGAAAGCTTGTACAGTGCAGTGTCGAATGCGTTGCAATGACTATGGGGAGCTCGTCCGCGCCTTCATCGATACAAGACTTGTCGTGTCGTAAGCGCGGATGCTAGTTGTCGGAGCGATACGAAGTGAAGGGAAGTGGATGGTGTGCTATTCTGAATAGAGACACGCAATAGCCGAGAGAGACACTGTGTTTGAAGTAGCGAGGAGCACATGGCGTCGTCGATCATGTGTGGTCTTTTCGCAACTATAGCACAAAGAAGTTGACGACGACCAATCTTCCAGCATCAGGCGGTAACATGGCTTCGAAGCCACGGGAGCGCGTGCATTCCATTGCTACTGCTCGTTAACCTCGTGGTGTTGATTCATCGCCGCTGACATGCAATCGTCTGGTGCAGTGTCAAGAGTTTGCATCTCTTACGTGGCTTCGTGTACAAACTCATACAACATCTTGAAAGAGTCTGTTTAATGACGACGTCTGTCTGGCCACGCCGTACTTCCCTCTCGGTACTGCTCCCTCCTCGTCGTGAGGGATGCAGACACTCTACGCGCAGCCGATAGTGCATTCTCCCGCTTTGTTGCAGCTTCACGAGTCCATGGGACGGCCACGACGCGAACCTTCTCCACGCGAAACGGTCAACTTTTGCTCAGAGGACATCCGGTGGCGCTGTGGAGCCAGACGATTGCTCGAAGCGTCCTGCTATGTCAGCTCTGCCTGTGGCACACTCGCCTCGGTGAGCCTCGACCAAGAAAGAAGCCAGCGTCTGCATAGGCAGATCATAGTCGAGGGGCTCTGCAAGTTGAAGCCCATCAAGTCTGACACGTTGCTAATGCCGCACGTCTCTCGTCCAGTGAATTCCACTTGCAGCTGGCAAACTTCAAGCACAGTGCCAACTCTCGTTCCCTCGAGGGTATCAGCCCCAGGAGCACTCGAAGCAGCAGTTCTTGTCAGTATTCAACTCGCCCTGTCAGAGCTACGAGCTCGTGGACCCCCGTGATCGCTGCAACACTCCATTGATCGATCCGTAGGTAAGATACTTTCGCCACTATGTTCTTGAGCGCTATGATCCTCAGTGTCTCCGCCAGCGCCCTCCTCTCCAGTCCTCAGATGGTCCGTGCCCAGGCGGTTGTTCCCGAGGCCGAGCCTGGCACGGACCTGTTCAACCAGTTCCGACCAGTGTACCACTTCCAGGCGCGTGAAAAGTGGATGAACGACCCCTGTGCTCCGTACTACGATGAGGCCACTGGTTTGTATCACCTGTTCTACCAGTTGAACCCGAACTCGACCATTTGGGGTAACATGACATGGGGTCACGCCGTGTCGACGGACCAAGTGACGTGGACGGACTACCCCGACGCCCTCCGTCCGTTCGAAGACAAGTGGGATCGACTCGGTGTGTTCTCGGGCTTTGCCATGGGCAATGCCATTGACGGCAAGCAGACGGTGTTCTACACGGGTGTCACTGCGCTGCCCATTGCGTGGCGGAAGGAGTACCTCTTCGGAGAGCACGTGGTGTACGCCACGACGGACGACGGCGGCAAGACGTGGCAAAAGGGCCGTGAACCTCTGATCGAGCGTCCGCCACAGGGCCTCGACGTGACTGGCTGGCGGGACCCGATGCCGTTCCATTCCAAGTCACTGGATGCTCACTTTGGCTACACCGCTGGCAAGGGCAGCAGCAGCAGCAATCGCAGCAGTAATCGCAGCAGCAGTGGCAGCAGCAGTGGCAGCAACTACCTCATTGTGGCCGGTGGTGTCCGTGACGTCGGTCCGCGCGTTTTCCTGTACCATGCCGAGGACTATGTGAACTGGGAGTACAAGGGCTACCTCCTTGCGCAGGAGAAGAACACGACCTTCTCGCCGTACAGTGCCGGCTGGGGCTACAACTTTGAGACCACCATCTACCGGGAGATGACGGACGAAGACGGCGAGCTCCACAATGTGATGCTGTTTGCGGCAGAAGGAGAAACGAACCGGTACGCCATGTGGGCCACGGGATCGTTCGGCTCGAGCGACGGCTATGGGTTTGACTTCGAGCAGACGGCTTCTGAAGTCGGTCAGTTTACGCCTTTGATGGTGGGGGTGTCCGACAACAGCGACTGGTATGCCAACAGCATCTACACGGACAAGGATGGCAAAGACGTCCTGATCGGTTGGATCACCGAGGACAACAACTTTGTCACGGGACAGCCTCAAGGCTGGGACGGTATCTTGTCACTGCCGCGAGAAGTGGGGATCACGATTGTGCGAGACATCTACGACAGGGACAGCCACCTCGTGGGCAAGGGCGACTGGATCGTATCTGAGTCGAAAGACGTGCCATGTGCGAGTGGCTCACCAAAGCAGCGCAAGACCATCAAGACGCTTGGCGTGAAGCCCCTGCGGGACCTGAAGCTGCTGCGTAATGTGAAGTCGGTGGAGCGCGTTGCGAGTGTATCACTGAAGGGGTCGACGCAAGTGCTGGGGTCGACCGGTGCGTCGTTTGAGCTCGTGGCTGAAGTATCAGAGTTTGCACGTGGCAGCAAAGTTGGCGTGGAGGTCCGTCGCAGCTCAAGTGGGGACGAGGTGACGACGATCGTGTACGACGACGCGGAGAAGAAGGTGATCATCGACCGTTCCAAGAGTTCGAGTGCCGACTGTGCTGTGTTTGCGGATGCCCACGTGAAGCCCGTCTCGGAATCGATTTGGGGACACTTTTACCTCTACGACCTCTTCACGGGTACTGCCAAGAACGACGTGTGTGAGATCGCCCGCGAGAGACTGAGTTTCCACGTCTTTGTGGATGTGTCTAGTGTCGAAGTGTTTCTCAACGGTCGCTTCGCACTATCTGCCCGAATTTACCCGTGTGCCAGTGAGACAAAGTCCGACGGTATTGCTCTGGTGGCCTCGAGAGGTGCTACCTTTGAGAACGTGCAGGTGTGGACTGATCCGAAACATGCTTGGGCTGACACGCGCGTGGTGCCGGCGGTTTAGGTTGGTGAGAAGAAAGTCTCGTGTTGCAGCATGTTAAGCCAAGTAGTAGTAATCAAATGGCTAGTTCGTTGAAGTCATGTCGAGTGTGTGGTCTTGTCGAAGGTGGTGTAAGATAGCTGGTCGTTCCGGTGGACGTGTATTGACTTGGCAATGAGTAACACAGAGTTGGCTGAACTAGCTGGGCATAGAGAAGCACGAGCAAGGGATATGCATGCAATGTGTGCTTTTCCGCATAGGTGTAGATAATGTGCGTGGTAACAGAGATGTATTGAGGACCTTACTTGTAAAATGCTGTCGAATACAATACTTCGACAATTCGTTTGCACACGTAGTACCAGTGCCTAGCCAACGTCAAGCTTAGCTCAGCGCACAGTAACGAAGGCTCATTATGTTACTCATTGCCAAGTCAATACACGTCCACCGGAACGACCAGCTATCTTACACCACCTTCGACAAGACCACACACTCGACATGACTTCAACGAACTAGCCATTTGATTACTACTACTTGGCTTAACATGCTGCAACACGAGACTTTCTTCTCACCAACCTAAACCGCCGGCACCACGCGCGTGTCAGCCCAAGCATGTTTCGGATCCGTCCACACCTGCACGTTCTCAAAGGTAGCACCTCTCGAGGCCACCAGAGCAATACCGTCGGACTTTGTCTCACTGGCACACGAGTAAACTCGGGCAGATAGTGCGAAGCGACCGTTGAGAAACACTTCGACACTAGACACATCCACAAAGACGTGGAAACTCAGTCTCTCGCGGGCGATCTCACACACGTCGTTCTTCGTAGTACCCGTGAAGAGGTCGTAGAGGTAAAAGTGTCCCCAAATCGATTCCGAGACGGGCTTCACGTGGGCATCCGCAAACACAGCACAGTCGGCACTCGAACTCTTGGAACGGTCGATGATCACCTTCTTCTCCGCGTCGTCGTACACGATCGTCGTCACCTCGTCCCCACTTGAGCTGCGACGGACCTCCACGCCAACTTTGCTGCCACGTGCAAACTCTGATACTTCAGCCACGAGCTCAAACGACGCACCGGTCGACCCCAGCACTTGCGTCGACCCCTTCAGTGATACACTCGCAACGCGCTCCACCGACTTCACATTACGCAGCAGCTTCAGGTCCCGCAGGGGCTTCACGCCAAGCGTCTTGATGGTCTTGCGCTGCTTTGGTGAGCCACTCGCACATGGCACGTCTTTCGACTCGGATACGATCCAGTCGCCCTTGCCCACGAGGTGGCTGTCCCTGTCGTAGATGTCTCGCACAATCGTGATCCCCACTTCTCGCGGCAGTGACAAGATACCGTCCCAGCCTTGAGGCTGTCCCGTGACAAAGTTGTTGTCCTCGGTGATCCAACCGATCAGGACGTCTTTGCCATCCTTGTCCGTGTAGATGCTGTTGGCATACCAGTCGCTGTTGTCGGACACCCCCACCATCAAAGGCGTAAACTGACCGACTTCAGAAGCCGTCTGCTCGAAGTCAAACCCATAGCCGTCGCTCGAGCCGAACGATCCCGTGGCCCACATGGCGTACCGGTTCGTTTCTCCTTCTGCCGCAAACAGCATCACATTGTGGAGCTCGCCGTCTTCGTCCGTCATCTCCCGGTAGATGGTGGTCTCAAAGTTGTAGCCCCAGCCGGCACTGTACGGCGAGAAGGTCGTGTTCTTCTCCTGCGCAAGGAGGTAGCCCTTGTACTCCCAGTTCACATAGTCCTCGGCATGGTACAGGAAAACGCGCGGACCGACGTCACGGACACCACCGGCCACAATGAGGTAGTTGCTGCCACTGCTGCTGCCACTGCTGCTGCGATTACTGCTGCGATTGCTGCTGCTGCTGCCCTTGCCAGCGGTGTAGCCAAAGTGAGCATCCAGTGACTTGGAATGGAACGGCATCGGGTCCCGCCAGCCAGTCACGTCGAGGCCCTGTGGCGGACGCTCGATCAGAGGTTCACGGCCCTTTTGCCACGTCTTGCCGCCGTCGTCCGTCGTGGCGTACACCACGTGCTCTCCGAAGAGGTACTCCTTCCGCCACGCAATGGGCAGCGCAGTGACACCCGTGTAGAACACCGTCTGCTTGCCGTCAATGGCATTGCCCATGGCAAAGCCCGAGTACACACTGAGGTGATCCCACTTGTCTTCGAACGGACGGAGGGCGTCGGGGTAGTCCGTCCACGTCACTTGGTCCGTCGACACGGCGTGACCCCATGCGATAGTGTCTGCAGTCGTCGAGTTTGGATTGAACTGGTAGAACAGGTGATACAAACCAGTGGCCTCATCGTAGTACGGAGCACAGGGGTCGTTCATCCACTTTTCACGCGCCTGGAAGTGGTACACTGGTCGGAACTGGTTGAACAGGTCCGTGCCAGGCTCGGCCTCGGGAACAGCCGCTTGTACATGGACGACCTGGGAATGGAAGAAGAGGGTTGTTATAGTGGCCACACTGAGGACCAGAGCGCTCGAGGTCGGTTTCATAGTCGCTCACACAGAAGTATTGTACAGACGGAGAGCCACAAAGTGGTTGGCAAAAGAGTCTGTGAGCGGAGTAAAAAATGACTAATGCCGTCCGCGTGGGGAGACGCGGAGCAGCCGCATGGACAACGATAGAAGAGCTCGTGCCATTTTTTTTATCTTCAGGGCACTACTTCCCGTCGGCTGTACACCTGATACCGCTATTCGTGTCCATTGCTCATTTCTAGATTAAACCTGGTCGAAGAGCTCGAGCTTGAAAGTTTTCAAGGAGATCGACCTGGCTCAAGTTGAATCTGACTCGGACTTGCATTGCCAGCGTAACACGTGGAGGGAAGATGTGTGTACTTCAAGAGCTGGATACTTACTTGGGCGACCGCCGTGGCGGCATCGGACTTTTTGACGACGACGACGACGACCTCAAAATTTAGATTTCGCAACAGACAGCGCTGCAAAAAAAAGAGCTCTACTGTTTTATGATTTGAACACGAGGAGGAACGTTCAATAGAGATCCTTCTGGTCGGGTCGTACTTCACTAAATACGAACGGCAGCGAACTCGAGCTTCCTTCCATTCGACGGCTTCAGTTGTTTAGTCAGATCAATCGCTCATTCTGACTTGACATGACGATCCCGAACCCTGAAGCATGTGCTTACTTGGTATCGTTATGACTTATCTTACTAAGTACTGCCATGTCGTTCGCATCATGGCGCCAACCTAGACCCACCATCTCGGTAGCTACGGCTCACTAAAGGGCAGCACGGCAAATGCACGCACATCAACAAAACACATTCTCTGCGATGAAAGATTGCGAGCATCGGTCAAGCTTCTTCCAACAATTCTAGGCAATCATTGGAGAAATAGCCTGTCTTTCCAAAACTGTCCGTATCCTTTACACGTTCCATGTATCCGCGTTGCTTCGTCGTGGTCCAACACAAAGCCAACACCTCTTTCCAGCTTATCGTCTTGGTACCAGCCACTATGCTGGACTGTTTGCTCTCCATCCGCTGCAACGGTGGCCAAAGAAACCGACTTGTCAGCATCAACGTCTTCACCCACCTCCGCGTCATTTTTGGGTATATCAAATTCATATCGGTGATAGTCACCTCAGTACCAACAAACTTGCACGAATCTGTCTTTGGTCATTGCAGTCGCATATGTGGCGAATACATTGCAAACACGCACGTAAACGTGAAACTGGCAAGGTGTGGTAAGGGTGATTTAACAGCTTTTGAAGTCGCGATCGAACATGCTTCCGTCATGTGTGCAACGCGCATTCGAAAACTGACTGAAAACTGGATATTATGTAGGGGCTGACTGCACAAAGAACTTTGATGGTCGGAACAGTCATCCCAAGTATCTCGTTCGCCTATGTCCTCAACATCACCTTCTTCATTCGCCTACGTTCTCAGCAGCAACAAGAACTGGTCCGATGAAGAAGGAATTGACGTCACCGTGCATGCTATTGCAGCTTCCAAATCAGCTCCGGAACTCTCGGGTGAAGCGATAACAATTATCGTCAATGGCACGGAAATGCCTACGCCAATCTTAGCCAAGTACCGTGTAAACTAGAGCTCCACGTAGATGGCAGCAACCGTCGACAGCGAGACTCGGGCAGAAAGCTCGTATGCAGATGTGCCGGCGTAATGATCGGCGCACCATGACACCAGTCACAAACACTTTGACGGAAACCCCACGCTGTCAAGCCCGAGATCAGCATCGTACACCACGTTTAACTTGGTGACCATTGCCACTCGGATAACACTATCAAAAACGCACCAACCTTTCCGCAGGCTCTGCTGTAGTGTACAATGTTGGCACACGAATGCGATCAAGATGACTTAGCTCATTTCACCTAAGTAATGTAATTTGTTAAGTAGATTCTTCGACGCTGCGCTCAAGCTCACTCAGATGTCCCTACCATCTAGTCCTCACGACGCTGTGGCATTTAACAAGGCAGTGTGGAGCTGCTACGTCGATCATTTAGAGCTTTCATCGAAGTCATGTAAACGCCGACCAAGATATAGTTGAAGTATATGTTTTGGTCAGCCTCTACCTCAGAAACAGGCGGCCGCGAATCTGAATGATGATACTCGAGGTGTGGACGCCCATGGAGCATCTTGTTCGTATACCATTGGGTCGTAATAGTGCGACTGCGTGACCTCAGTGTCAAGCAACGAAGTTGTGTACGAAGGACGTATGTAGTAACTGAGCGTGAGATCGGCTGACATGGACAAGTTGATGTGCGTACAATGAATTGCTTCTTTTCAACAATGAGCGCCGCAAAATGCATACATAATATGGGTGGAAAGATCACAAAAGCTGTAATGCCGTCTATGAGCAGATCCCGCTAGGATAGGTGCAGTGATGAATGCGTCTTTTTTGTAGACCCGGTATGGTCATTCGGAGTACGTTGCGACGACCAGCCACCGTTCTCTATAGCGTAAGCCTACATCTGTTGTTTGGATGGCTACATTCGTATGCGTGGTTCGTACCGCGTGACGTGCGTATAACATGCATCGTTTCTGCATGCTACACAGACCTGGCTAGACTTGTAACGGGGTAGCCTGTTACCTGATATTATCATCATGAGAAATCTTGATAGAGAATACTATGTTGAATATTCTTTGAACAATATCATTCCATTCAGCGAAATTGTTGAGATGACCCAAAGTTCTGCTCATTAGCTGATATTATGTTTATATCAACCCACTAATCGCTGCTAGACGCGCGCAATGGGTAGTGATTAAACGTCCTCATAGTTTGGGGTATATATATAATTAAGTAAGGACAAAGATAGACACAACAGGGATTGGACTAATTATATTCGATGACAGTTTTACTTTTTCTACGACCAAAGTCTTTGTCTTAGTCGTTTACCCTTCCTCTTTGCAAGGTGCAGAGGTAACAGGGCACTGACCTTCACTGTTTTCAGTGAGAGTTGGCTCCGTATCATTATTCCAGTACGTAGCTGCCGGTGCCCCGTTACACCTTGTAGCACTTTGTAGTCCGTCCAAGGACCACAAGCGCATCGCCTAATATGAACATATTGGACGATGAAGAAAGCGACAGCTTTCACGGAACGCGTGAGAAAAACTTCTATATGAATGATGTCGAATGGAGTGCGGTCAGAAGAATGAGTTCGACCGTTGGCAAAGAAACTGACTGGGCCATGCTACCCTCAGGGGATAGGACCAGCAGCATTCCGTCATTAGCAAGTTCTTGCAAAGAGAACTTGATGAGTCTCGAGCGGAAGTGATCTTGTTCCGACAAAAAGATCACCAGCAGACTGAAATGCTGAGACAGCAACAGTCCCGGTCCACTAGGTCGACACACTCGCGTCGACGGGAGACGTTGACGTTATAGATCTCCAAGTACCGGGGAGTCGAGGAAGAAGCCCTGTTGAGATGGTTTGTCGATTCATACGACGCCATTGAGGCTCGTCGCATCGACGGTAAGAAAATGCGACTTGCATTTGCTCAATCATTGGCATGTCGTGCCAAAAGGTAGACACTATTTATCATGTTGCACGATTCAGATGTGTTTGGGTCGTTAAGGATCTTCAAGTCATTTCTCAGCGAAACGTTTGAGCCTCCCAGGGCAGAGTCTAGGACTCTATCAGAGCTCCTGAAACTCAAACAAGGTAAGCAAAAGGTTTACGATTACGACTAACATGCGCGTTACCTTGAAATTTGCATGGTAGCAATCACTGAGCGCGAATTCATCTTGATCACAACATTCATTCAGGTCTCGCAGATGGTCGCGTCCGAGGCCACCTATCAAGCGGAGAGCTGAAGACGCTTGCATAAGCGATCTCAGCTGCGGATCAGGAGTCTCTAGTGTGATACAGAATCAATTCTCTAGTGTGAGACAGGATTACACCACACTAACCACATATCGTCCACAGAGATAATTAGCAGTCGGAAGTTCAGATCCTATAAGCCTCCGTTTTGTTGAGGGCAAGAGACCTAGCCCTTCGAACGACAAGCAATTGATGAGATGCATCTTTGCCACAAGTTAGACCACTACTCATATGAATGCAGTGTCCCCCGTTGAGAACCTCGCGGTACTGAGCGAAGTGACTGTCCAACAGCTTGGAGAAGAGGAGGACAATGTTACGGCACTGTCGCAAAGCCACGACATCGAGGCGGACCACCAAAGAATGGACGAGGTCAGTAGGGGCGGAGAGCCCTTCTGATTTAGCAACATCAAGGTATTTTGCAAATATCTTGACTAAACATTATAAGACAAACAGTACGATGATAATTTCATCGTACTGGATCTGGATGATAAGTTTGATGTCAGTTTAAATTGTCTTGGCTCAGAAGATTCTGGCCAAGGGTGAGCTGGTAACATCGATACGTCAAAATGACTGCCGCTTGTTCATCAAATGACCATCTGATGAACGTCATGGAGCGTCCACACGCGCGTGGATATACTGCAAGTGAGCGCAATGACCTCACTTGTGGTACGAATCAGATGGCGCCGAAGGTTCACCACTCGAATAAGTCGAGTGGACCGGTACATGGATGCATGCCAGGAAGACAGCATCCATCAGAATAGAGACCAATTGCCGAGATACGGCAGCACAATGATCCTATGTCGACTAGACAGTCGACCGTTGAAGATGGGTTCCTGACAGCGGTTGCTTATTCAATGTCCGAATACGGGACGAAAGAGACCCCACGTGCTTGAGGAAGATGTTCCTCAAGCGGTATATGCTGACGGAGAGAGTCCTTAGCATACTATGGATATGACTTTCCAGGAAGTGACTGAGACATTGAACGTCTTGATCAATGACTGATCAAATGTAGGCGCTTATACGCTTGATCTAATTGCACCTCCGAAGCCGACTTCGAATATTTATTCATTGCTAACGTAAGAACCAAGATGGTTCTTACGTGATATACGTAGTGGCAAACTCAACCATATCGATATACTTGTCCCAGATGACGAGTTATCACCGACATTGGGTCGGCAATGATATTTGCTGAGAACGATCGGGTC